CAAACTGTGATTTTTGGGATTTCATGCAAAGTTATGGCTGTTTTATTTTTCTTGTCGTATTTATGATCTTTTAGATACTGACTGGTTTGTCCTATATAAACCCACTGCAATTTTTGCAGGGTATTTCGTAAATTAGATTGCTTTTTTGTTTTTCGGTGTTTTTGTCTTGAGCCTTGAAAAATTACTTCGCCAATAAATTGTGTGGATTTGTGACATACATTGAGATTATAACTACCAAGTAGAATGTTTTATTTGTTGTACAGTCCGTTTACATAAAAGGGATAGAAATGTATTTTTTATTGTCCTTATTTATAGGTTTACTATGTTGGTGTGAGTTGTAAAATTTAGAATCTGTTTTTTAAAAATGTTATTAATTATGTCATGTGGGTAGCTATTTAATTTAAGAGCATTCTTAGCTTTAATTATCGCGTTTTGTCGATATTCTGGGTCTGATAAATAATATAAACGATCTCTAGCCCTATAATTACAGATTTTTTTTGGTTTGGTTTGGTTTGGGTTGGTTGTGATGATGAGAATTATAATTTAAATAACGAGAAGACCATGATTTTTTGGTATACCATTCGGTTCTAATGTTTCCATTTATGTGATGTAATGTTAAATCAAGGAAGTTTATTTTATTTTCTTGTTCAATTTCGATGGTAAATTGTAAATTTTTATGATAAGAATTAAATATTGTTAAGATGTTTTCAACTTGATTTTTTGGGACTGCCATTATACAATCGTCAACAAATCTAAAGAAAAACGGTATCGAATAGGTGATTTTTGAGAGTACTGTTTCCTCTAAGTCCTCCATTACTATTTGTGCTACTGCACTTGAAATCGAAGCACCCATTGCGCAACCCTGTATTTGTTTATACAGTTCATTTTCGTATTGAAAAAAAGTTGAATTTAATGTGAGTTCAGTTGCGCTTATAAACTCGTCAAAGGGGATGTCAGTATATTTTTTGATGTTATTCCACTTATTTTTAATGATTTTTAGTGCTAGAGCTATTGGGACATTAGTGTATAAAGATACAACGTCTAGTGAGACAAGTACATAATCTTTTGGAATTTTAAGAGAATCGATAAGATTTATCATATAATTCTACATACCTTTTAAACGACAGCGATCTTCATTTCCAAGCCCACTCCCACGCCTTTTTTTTCTATCGTACGGTATATTCACTAACTGCATTACCTACTAATAATTTATAACAGTTTATATTGACTGATTCATTTATAATTTGCATCCACTTAATATTACTTGATTTATCCATCGTAAACTTTGCATACATATAGAAATATAACGATGGACAACTCTTAATGTGTTAAATTATACCGTACGATCGAAAAAAAAATGGCGTCCGATTGGTTTGGAAATGACAATCGATGACATTCCCCATATAATTTTACATATCAAATGACAGCGATCTTCATTTCATAGCCAACGCTGACGCCGTTTTTTTTTCGATCATACGATATATGGTAAAAGCCATCGATCACCATTTCTAAGGTAACTTAACGCCGTATTTTTACATACAAAATGTGCAAAAAAATTCTATATGAATGAACTCACAATTTTCTATCCACTTTGTACATAAATTAGGATCTCTTGACGCATGAAACTTAAACACATGTACACCTGATTTCCGAGAAATCTCACAATTGTAAAATTGACACTTATTACCAGACATTTTAATAATAATTATCACTAATCACACAGTTGTAATCAAAGACAGTCAAAGGTATATAGTATATTACCATCACAGATTACCATATATTACCCGGCTTTTAAATATCCATTAAAAACAAAAAGCAGTAACGACATATCTAAATCTTCTATCTTTGTCGCATATGGTTCGTTCCTGTATTATTCTGTGATAAGGGAAGGAATAGAGATTTTCTGTGATAAGTGGTAAAGCTAGGTTTTCATATGTACAAATTTGGCAAACTTTCCAGGAAATTCGGTCATATTTTCATTATAAAATTATTTATCATAAACAAATTTATTGTAAAAAAAAAAAATTTGAACGTATATTCAAATTTTAAACGTTTCAATTAATAAATAACGTAAATCAATTTTAAATTAAATTTAAGAAAAAAAAATCAAAATTAATAAAACGTAAATCACTTATGAACAAATCATTATTTTAATTTCAAATTATATTTCGAAGTTATATTACAAGTTATTTACTGTTGTCTTATACAGAGTATATCAAGACAAATGCGAAACTTTAAGGGGTGTATTCTTTGTTATTTGTCAACATTTTTAAAATAAGCTGAAGAGGTTGAAATAAACTATTTCTAATATTCGTTAATTTGACAAAAAACTGGAGCAACGGTATGGAAAAAATGGTTAGATTTGTATATTTAGAACGTTTTTATGACTTGCAATTTTTCCATTAAATTCATTATTTGAAGTTAAAAATAAAATGTAAATCATTATGTATTGGGACCAAAAAAATATTTTAGCAAAGAAGCTGTTCGCCTTAAAAACAGTTTTATTTTCTACTACTGTAAAATATTTTTACAAACGACATATAAAGATAATTGATTGACAAACATGTTTTAAGCTACCCTTCCTAAATCTTCCTTAAAATAAAAAGATTAACAGATGGGAATACATATTATACCGTATGATCGAAAAAAAACGGCGTCCAGTTGGCTGGGAAATGGCAATCGATGACATTTCCCATATAAATTTACATTTAAAATGACAGCGATCTTCATTTCATAGCCATCGCTGACGCCGTTTTTTCGATCATATGGTATATCAAATAAAGTATTATTAGAAAAGCTCACTAGATTGTTTTCTAGTAAAAAAGACCTTATTTTGTCACAACAGGTGACATTTTTTTGTTTTAAATCAAGTAGGTTTTAAAAAAACTACAATAGGTAAAAAAGTTTCTAAACAAATAGAATATCCAAATTAATTTATTTCCAATGACAATAATGTGTAAGTTTGTAATTAAAGTTAGTTAATAAGAATAATAGGTGTAGTATATTTCAACATCATTCACTGGTTTTAAAAACATCAAAAAATATGCATGTGTTTTCATAGTATAAATATGAATTGTTCCTTACGTTAGTTCTTATTGATATAAAAGCAAAAAAGTATAAAAATTAAAAGCTGCAATTTTATTAAAAATATGTTATTCTAACACATATTTTTTTAACTGTAATGTTCTAAATTGATCAAAATATAAATGTTATTTTTTTCCTAGGAAAAATAAAACTTCATAACTTAATTTTCATAAATAAATTTATTTCTATTAAATTTTATAGAGCAATTTGTATTACAGTTTTATTTCACATATTTTGTAATACTGCTTCGGTGCAGTGCCCCATTGCTATCTGTGAGTTCATTTAAACTATGACGACACTACTGATCTAGAAGATAAAAATGTACCTAAGTACCTTAATATTATCATCAAAAATGACTAATTTTGTAAATTATTACCTATAATGGTTAGATGAGTTGTGAATGTAAACTTCTTTACACTGGTTTCTTGAAGTTAGGTGATATTAATTATCTTCGCATCATCATGGGCTCTAATCAACTGTAGAGTATTCGTCAATCAACCTGAAATATGTAATATTATTTACTTTTTATTTACGAAAAATTATCATTTTCTTTTTATGAAAATTTTGAGTTTAAATTTAAATGTGATACATAATAAAAAAATACAAATAAATTTACATCAGTATTTAACATTTTATCATAGGTAATATTCTATATATTATCTGTGATTTTATGCTAAAATGTTTAATTTTGATTACTTACCTATAATATTTAAACGAGTTCCTGATTGTATTATCACGATGTCAAGTTCTAAATCTTGTATTGGTTGTCTAAAACTGTTTGATTTTGCTTAGTTATATTGTATCCTATATTTTATTAAACAAACTCAAAATAATGTTTATAATTACCTTCATCAGCCTTCATATCATTAAAGTTATTATTATCACTTATCATTATCAGTCATTATGTAGTTATTTGTTCATTTGTTGCTCTGTTTGTTGTTTGTTTTCAAAGATCATTTTTGAGGTTAATGTCATATGAAACTTTTCGTAATTAGGGAACTGGTAAATGACGTGTGACGATAAATTAATAAAATAATAATGAACGTATTAAGTTAAATATTTATATATTAATTTAACATATCTATTTCATGTTTATAAATTACATAATTTTAATTTGGTATACCTTTAATTTTATATATTCATAATGAAATGAAATATATTTCGATATAACGTTTGGTAACCACGCAACTGAAGTGCAAGCGACATCTGTGCAAGAGAAGCAAAACCTCCCAAAAAAGTTAGAAAAGAAATCTAAAAATTTCAGATTATTCAAATGTCACTCCATTATTTTTCCAAATTGGAGTGAAATTAGGGTGACAATTTTGACGAATTAGGGTGACAACACGTAAGGAGCCATCTGGATTATGTGTTATCTGTGATTTTACCTAATAATCGACCGTTCCCATACATATCAGCGACCCTGTATCACTTACTGGCGAAAAGTTCTATTATTTCCCTCGATTTTTGAACGAGATCTACGGCACGCTACACAACTATTTTACTGTCTTTTTGATAAATCGCAATAGTGTCACTGTTAATTTAAGTTCTTCCACAAAATTTCCTTCTAGATAAATGATAAATAACATAAAATAAGCTTAGTAAAGACTAACAAATCCACAAAATTTCAAGTCAAATTTAAATGTGTCAAATGAATCGTCATACAGAACTGCAAGGATCCCCACCCTAGGGTCCTCTCTCCGTCTACCATGCATGAATACATGGATAGCATCATAATCGTTCCTTAATATTTTTATTCAAAAGTCAGTCATGTAATGCGACGATCTTTAACGTCAAATTATATCGACATTCATTTAAAATTACGTTTCTTTGTAACTCTTGACAATGTATTTTGACAAGTTTGTAATAGTTTTTATGGCTTAATACAACAAACTTTTATATTTTTGTTTATTTTTTAGCGGTTCCAAAAACATCAATAAATCCCTGGCAGACCATTTTCATAATAGCGTTTTGAAATCGATATTAACAATGATGGACGACATTACCGAAATCAAATCAGCGTCTGGCTTACACTGGATATTTGCCTTGTTACTGAAAGTGACCAGGAGAGACAACGAACAATTCGTTTCCAAAAAATGCGTGTCTCTGTTAAAAGATGTATCAGAGAGTTTAATCAAAAGATTGAATCCCTATCATTTGTTGTTGAGAAGTCGGTATGGTTTGTATGGGATGCCTACAGAACCAGAATTGTTTGATATAGAGCCTCCTCAGTTTGCTAAGGGATCTAGTTCGTCGCATTATACGTTTTCGTCATCTAACGCGGCGGTAAATAATGAAGGATCAACGGCAAATACTTCTGCAACTGAGTATACACCGCAAATACAAATTAATAAAGAAGGTAGGTATTTTTCTATTTATGTTTTTTACAGGACCGATTCACGTAGATTTCTTAAAAAAGCATAAAGCATATTTATAATTCCGTCTAAAAGTTGTCTTAAATATTTTTCACATATTTTAATATTATGCAGTTTTGAAGCACAATACGAAAATGATGGCTAACAATACAGGGTCTAGCAATAGTGCGTCGGGCATCTGTAACTCCTAGAATAAAAAAACTTGTGAATTTTGTTTAAGTGCAGACCTTCAGTATGTATCTTCTAGGATGTATTTCAGGAAAATATTTTAACTTCTATGGGGTCGCTCAAAAAAGTGAGTCCATCGAGATGATTTTTTTTAATGGAACGCCCGGTATATTATTGCATTTTTGGCTTCCCTTTAGATCATGTTACATATATTTTGATAGTTTCAGAGATATTAATAAATAAATAAAAAAAATTATATTTTCAGCCTTTCTTTAAAGAAATATTGAAAATACAAGAACTGTCCTGAAATCAAAATTATATTAGGTATTTACTTTAGATAGTCTGTACTTACTTTTCTATAAATATGATAATCTTAAATCATACAGGATGTTCAAAATTCTACGCCAAAATTTCTAAAATATAAAATAATTTTTCTTCGTTTTTTTTTAATGGAGCACCCTATATATTATTTTTCAGTAGATGGAGAATTAAAAAATGAACATTTTTTGTATTTAGAGTATTTCAAAATATTTAACGGTTTCACGTTTAAGATATTTCCGGTTTTATATTTTATATAGCATTTTCCACAGTAAATTTTTATCAAAGCCACCCAATGATTTTTCTCTTGTATTTTGCTGTTGAAACAGCCATATGAAATAATACTGCGTGTATCTGCGAAATTATTAAAAATCTTAAAATATTTTAAATACAAAAATGTTCATATTTTAATTCTCCATCTAATAAAAAAGTAATATACAGGGCATTCCAATAAAAAAACAAAGAAAAAATATTTTATATATTAGAAAGTTTGGCGTAGAATTTTAAACACCGTGTATGATTTAAGATTACGATATTTATAGCAAAGTAACTATAGACCATCTAAAGTAAATACCTAATATAGTTTTGATTTCAGGACAGTACCTTGTGTTTGTAATAATTTTTTTAAGGAAGCTTGCAAGGTATATTTTTTATTTATTTATTAATATCTCTGAAATTATCGAAACATATTATTATTATTCTACTACTCATATCTTAGGATTGTGTATACTTAACTTAAAGAAATCCAAAAAATCATCCCGATCCACCCACATTTTTTGAGGCACCCTATACAAGTTTTTTTTTATTCTAGGAGCTAAAGATGCCTAACGCACTATTGCCAAACCCTGTATGATGTAGAATGTAGTGAATGTGTTTAGGAGGGGAGTGAATCACTGCGACTTTACAGATCTATTGTCTAGGATATGTACAACCCCAACCCAACCCTGTATGGTATTATTATGGGTGTTAATTTATTTTATTTTTAGAGAACTATGTTCATTTAAGCCCCCTAGGAACATACATATATAGAAGAAAAAATTTAAAAAAAAATAAAAAGTAAAAAGAAAATCGTTTTGCTTGTCGTAAAGGGGGGAACCAAGCTCCACTCCCACAACCGGTTTCTGGGCCTACCCTTCATCAGGTGGGCTGTCCAGGGGCTGGTTCTCACCGATACGGCAAGCAAAACTTCTTCTATATCTACAGACGATGTCGTAAAGTGTCGGTGAGATATTAGTGCATCTCCGTCAAAAGATGGTAAAGAGTTTTTCGGCCCGCTCAAATATATGAAATGAACAAAATTCTTACAGCTTTAGTGTATATTAATAAATAATATTTTCTTGCCTTTAGCTGTGTATTTTTTCTAATTTCGTAAAATCGAAAGTAGAGAAAAATTTAAAAAATAAAAAGTAAAAAAGAAAATTGTTTTGCTTGTCGTAAAGGGGGAACCAAGCTCCACAACCGGTTTCTGGGCCTACCCTTCATCAGGTGGGCTGTCCAGGGGCTGGTTCTCACCGATACGGCAAGCAAAACTTCTTCTATATCTACAGACGATGTCGTAAAGTGTCGGTGAGATATTAGTGCATCTCCCGTCAAAAGATGGTAAAGAGCGTTTTTCGGCCCGCTCAAATATATGAAATGAACAAAATTCTTACAGCTTTAGTGTATATTAATAAATAATATTTTCTTGCCTTTAGCTGTGTATTTTTTCTAATTTCGTAAAATCGAAAGTAGAGAAAAAATTTAAAAAAAATAAAAAGTAAAAAGAAAATTGTTTTGCTTGTCGTAAAGGGGGGAACCAAGCTCCACTCCCACAACCGGTTTCTGGGCCTACCCTTCATCAGGTGGACTGTCCAGGGGCTGGTTCTCACCGATACGGCAAGCAAAACTTCTTCTATATCTACAGACGATGTCGTAAAGTGTCGGTGAGATATTAGTGCATCTCCCGTCAAAAGATGGTAAAGAAACCGGTTGTGGGAGTGGAGCTTGGTTCCCCCCTTTACGACAAGCAAAACAATTTTCTTTTTACTTTTTATTTTTTTTAAATTTTTTCTCTACTTTCGATTTTACGAAATTAGAAAAAATACACAGCTAAAGGCAAGAAAATATTATTTATTAATATACACTAAAGCTGTAAGAATTTTGTTCATTTCATATATTTGAGCGGGCCGAAAACGCTCTTTACCATCTTTGACGGGAGATGCACTAATATCTCACCGACACTTTACGACATCGTCTGTAGATATAGAAGAAGTTTTGCTTGCCGTATCGGTGAGAACCAGCCCCTGGACAGCCCACCTGATGAAGGGTAGGCCCAGAAACCGGTTGTGGGAGTGGAGCTTGGTTCCCCCTTTACGACAAGCAAAACAATTTTCTTTTTACTTTTTATTTTTTTTTAAATTTTTTCTCTACTTTCGATTTTTCGAAATTAGAAAAAATACACAGCTAAAGGCAAGAAAATATTATTTATTAATATACACTAAAGCTGTAAGAATTTTGTTCATTTCATATATTTGAGCGGGCCGAAAACGCTCTTTACCATTTTTGACGGGAGATGCACTAATATCTCACCGACACTTTACGACATCGTCTGTAGATATAGAAGAAGTTTTGCTTGCCGTATCGGTGAGAACCAGCCCCTGACAGCTCCCACCTGATGAAGGGTAGGCCCAGAAACCGGTTGTGGGAGTGGAGCTTGGTTCCCCCTTTACGACAAGCAAAACAATTTTCTTTTTACTTTTTATTTTTATTTTTCTCTACTTTCGATTTTTACGAAATAGAAAAAATACACAGCTAAAGGCAAGAAAATATTATTTATTAATATACACTAAAGCTGTAAGAATTTTGTTCATTTCATATATTTGAGCGGGCCGAAAAACGCTCTTTACCATCTTTGACGGGAGATGCACTAATATCTCACCGACACTTTACGACATCGTCTGTAGATATAGAAGAAGTTTTGCTTGCCGTATCGGTGAGAACCAGCCCCTGGACAGCCCACCTGATGAAGGGTAGGCCCAGAAACCGGTTGTGGGAGTGGAGCTTGGTTCGCCCCTTTACGACAAGCAAAACAATTTTCTTTTTACTTTTTATTTTTTTTTTAATTTTTTCTCTATATATATATATATATATATATATATATATATATATATATATAATAACAATAATAATATAATAAAGTTTGAACTAATGACAAAATCTAATAAGCTAAATATGGCATACCCTGTATATCGCTATCTTAAGATATTCTTTTTTTTTTCAGGAATTAGTCCTAGAGATGTGTTGTCAAACACTGAGACAAAACTCAAATATAAAAACATTGCTTTTCCAAAACTGGTGAAAGGTCTCATTGAGACTGAACCTCTGCATTTTAACTGTATTAACACGAGCGAAGGCACCAGAATTGAAATGGCCGATTCCGTCAACAATAACCTACAAACGGTCTTTCAAAATATCGTCCCCATTTTCACCACTCTGAACCATACCAACGGAACCACAGGAGAGAAGGACAGCAATACGCAACAGTTTGGTCAGAAGTACAAAAAGTTTCAAGCACAATTGAAAGACTTTTCTTTGGATAATCTGGAATTTGCGAAAATCTTTGACGACGACCTTAGTAATAAAATGGGTGAGTTATAAATTCATTTAAGTCTAGTTGGCACAGTCAAAGTATATTTGGGTCAAATACACTTCGATCGTATCAGCCGATTTTAAATCAGATGGTACGATCCAAACCGCGTCGTAAGTGAGACGTGTGCAGCGTTCAAGTATATTTGTTCTAAGTACTCTTTGACCGTGTCAGCTAGTCTTTAGATGTGATACTGTAATATTAACTGTAGCTGATTATATAGTGCCCCCACCAAGTCGAGCACAGACGTACCACCCTTTTCTCGAAGGTATTAGTGGCACTTTTGACCACCCTGTAACTTCGTTGTGGATAAAGCAAGAATATTAATTTTCACTACACTTGAAGACATACTATAGCTGGCTAGGTTACCAAAATATCTAGTAATTATCCCTCATATTTTATGAATTATCGCTTGTCAAATTTCTTTAATTTCGACATTGACTCACTGACAGATCATCAAAATTCCAAGGTACTTCTAGATGTGTCACAAACTCCAATTTAGAATTTTAGGTAGCGTTAAGCTTATAAAAATAAATATAAAATATATAATTAATATATTAATAAAAATACCACGTTTTTGTGCCAAATACAGCACAAAATACATTCATATTCCATCTGAATTATTTAAGATTATTTTTTGACATCTCTCACACTCTTGTTTTTGTGAATAAACACCAAAATAATTGATATTTCTATTTGAATAATAAAAGTATTTTTACATTTACCCTTACATTTGCTTATTTTTTTAATTTTGTCAGAGTTTACTGTTTTGAGTAAAATCTCAAATGAATTGAATAACCTAAAATTCATGAGCTAAACAGATCAGCTGATTTACAACAGCTCGTCTGTTAAATGTAGGTCAAACGTTGACTACTTATTTAATAGAGGGCGCTGATTTTAATTCGGAAAGAAGTGGAAGAAATGTTTCACTTATTCCTGATTTGTTCTGTGTATTTGTATTCTTGTCGGCGGAATGTCGAATGTCGATCTCGGAATATTTATATTTCATAAGTTCGTCAGTTCAAAGTTGTTTAAAGAAAGTTTTTAACGTATTTATGTAGACGGAAAATGTCATGAAAAAATTTAAAATTTTCAACATTTTTTTCGCAAAAAAACTGTTCCTGGGGACAAATATACTACCAGTTAAAATATTTGCACTTATTTCTGGGACACCCTGTATATAACATTAATTAAAGGAATAAAGTGAGAAAGATTAACTAGATATGAGCATCTAAGTTATGTTCTTTAACGTTTTCATGTAAAGCACAGATAAAAAATGTAAAAAGAAGAAATTACGTTTCTCCTTCTTCCCATCCTATACTTTCAACAAAGATAATTCTACTACGAATAGATAACCCACGTAAATGGGACGGCTGAACCCGGCCAAAAGACATCAATGCACACGTAAACTTTAATATTTCGTGCGGAAACCCTCGTGAACGAGACGCGGCATCTATTTAGTTGGAAAATTATATTGAATTTAGCATTTATCTTTATATTTTTCTTGGAAATTTGATACAAGTTAACTTGAAATAAAAAAAAAACTAAAACTAAACATATTTTAATAGATGACACTCATTTTTACAAAAAGCTACATAACATTTGACAATCAAAGAAACAAAATAAAAATTTGTCGAGTCAAATCTAAAAATTAGTTAAATGAAAAGAAGTTTTAAATATATTGACTTATAGAGGAGAAAAAAAATTATGTATTTTTCATTTTGATATTTATAGTATATACAGAGTGTCCCATTTTCGTGTGTTTTACAGGGTTTCTCATTTATGAGTAGAGGTACAAAGATGAGGTATTCACTATTTAGTATTTTATTATTTTTTCGTTTGATTTGCCTTCCTATGGGATTTCTAAAAATATAATTTAGGTAATTTATATTTATTTTTATAAATATGGTAAAAATGCATTATATTTAACTTTTTTACATACGTTTATTGTTTGAATTGTAATCAACATAATCGAATAATTTATTCGACTTCAAATTTTAGATGTTGGTTATTCCACGCTTCTTGTGTAAAATTATTGCACAAGTGCATCAACAATTTCTGTAACTCTGATTGACAGCCGTGTTATGTAAAAATTACACAAGTTCATTTTTAGTGCAGTTTATTAAGATAACACCGTGGAGAGCATAATTATCTGATTAAATAAAAAAAGAATAATAATACTCTTTTAAACAAGTTTATTCATGTTAAAAAGTTAAAAAATGCATTTTTTACCTTGTTTGTGACAAATAAATATATTATATTTGTAGAAAGCTCATAACAAGGCAAATAAAATAAAAAAAATGTACAGGGTGTCCCTTTAAAAACTACCGAACTTGAAACAAATTACATATTAACATTGGTTTATATTTTTTTCGAATTTCGAGATAAAACTGTTAAAAGAAAGAACATGTGTGATACATTTAATTTTTATAACAGAATAAAAATGTACTATACAGGGTGTTTCAAAAAACATGTGCCATCTCTTGTGGGGAGATTCCTCATATAAAAATAAGACTTATTTTTCGTATCAACATTGGTCCGATTCTGCTTTGTTTCGTAGCTACTGGGTGTTAAAGTCTTAATAATCTTTCGATTTATTATAATTTTCTTCCAAGTACTTTTAGTGATTTGAATTAAATTTTTGGGGTAAAAGTTACTATAAGTGTTACATATTTTAATGCTAAAAAAGCGTCAATAAATTCATCAGGGACGTGCAAAAAAACATGTGCGCCTCTGACTTTTTTTTGATATCAAAACTGTGTAGGCCATTTAATGCCAATTAAAAGGCATATCTTGATATTTTGTCCAATTCGGCCTCCTTAATGAGATAAATGCAATTTTATTAATCACAATAATTAATAAAATTAAAATAAAAATAAAAAATTAATAAATTATATCTTTACCTAATTTATTATTAAATATTATTACTATGTCATTATTCTACTAGTAATAATACATCAAACTAATCCAACATACTACAATTTTAAATAAAAAAATATTGGTTATTAAGATAACAACAAAAAACCTAATTTTAAAAAAATTTAACATCCTGTAACGCTCAAAAAGCCGGGCTCCTTTTTGGTTTCAAAAATTTTACACGGGATGGGTTTTCTATTGTGTTAACTATAATATTCTTTGCTTTCAATTATTTCAGCTTAAATTTTGATTTCTACACAAAATAAAATAAAAGAATATTAACAAAAAGACTAAATATAGGGAAATAAATTACATTTCTTTCAATAGTCACTCACATACCGGGTGCGTCTGAAAAACGAGATTTGGTATGGTAGTATATGACATAAATTACGATTGATTGACTTATTCAATTGTTTTAGATCATTTCCGGTTTCACTGGAAATGACTACAAATTTTGATTTTTAAATGGCACCCTCGGCATTTTTTTACTTTATTCGATAGAAAATGACATTCTGAATCGAATGACATATCATATGTCAACTTTTGACATTTTCGCATATGGTTTATTTGAAATTGTAACATGCGGTTAATTTGACTCGAAATCCCAATTGTGTGATATCAAATTATTCGTAAAAAAATGCTTTTTCCAAATGTGTTAATAAGCCACCCTCGTTCCATTTGAAAAAATTGAGATATGATTAAAATTACGATTTGGGCATCTTTTAACCGGCAAGGACAAAACACTAAAAACATTAGACGATCAAATATATTTTTCCAAGGCTCCTTGACTACAAATTAGTGCTTTTAACACAGCCATTGCACTCTAGATTGAAATTTAAAATACAATTTGTTTTTGACCGAATATGTCAAAAGTTGACATATGATATGTTATTCGATTCAGAGTGTCATTTTCTATCGAATAAAGGAAAAAAATACCGAGGGTGCCACTTAAAAATCAAAAGTTGTAGTCATTTCTGGTGAAACACAAAGTGACCAAAAACAACTGAATACGTCAATCAATCCTAATTTATGTAATACACTAGTGATGTAAACTTTAGTTACTTTTATGGACTCGTAACTAATGATGTTAATATTTCAGAAATTTTTGATTGTTGCAGAGGAAATTTCTGAAACTTTCGGAAAATTTCGGAAATTTATGAAATATTAGGAAATTTTACAATTTTACATATTTTTGTCGATACAATAAAGGAATAAATTAGATAGACATTTGATACCAACATGTAAGTGGAAAAAAAAACAATAAACATAATATTAGTTGTTATATTTTTAATAAACAATACATAACCCATAAAAGTCATAAACATAACCTATAACAAAAATAATTTGGTAACATTTGTATTTTGTGCATAAACCACGAACTATGACTATGAATTTAAAAAAAAAACAAAAAAGCACGAAATATAAATTTAAAAAACGTAAAACACAAATAACTGAATTATTCTATCCTGGAATATCAGGCGCCGAGCTGGTCCCATCTTCATAGGGTATTATAGTAGTAGTAGTACTGTCTTCGTCAGTTTCTATTTCCAAATCAGATATATTTGATGTATCATCTAGTTCTGATTCTGAAGGATGGACCTCTACCTCCACGAGTTCTAGTGGTTCTGGAGGAATTTCATGTTGTTGAATATCATGCTCCATATCCACTTTTTGTTTTTGTAGTAATAATTTATTGTTATGAGCTACGAACATTATTTTACCGACTCTTTGTGCAGTTAAGCGATTCCTTTTTTTAGTATGGATAAAACTGTAAGTACTGAAACTTCTCTCTGTGGCTGCAGATGACGTTGGTAAAGACAGCAGAGCAACAGCTAAATATTTCAACTGAGTATTTTTTCACATTGCTTGCCACCAACTTAGACAGTCTACATTTTTAACTGACATCCAAACGTAGTCGAGAGCCCATAAACCCGATTTGGCGCAATAATTTGTTATATCTGTAAAGATGGCTTATTATTGACAAACTGAGGATGATTGTTGGTGATATTGTTGATAAATTCCATAGCGGCTATGTGTTCTTCATTGTTAAGGTGCTCTCCCAGGATCACATCACTACCAACATCACTACTCGTAACTACTAGTTACTTTTGGTAATAGGACTCGTTACTTTGGACTCGTTATTTTAGTTACTCGTTACTTTGGTACTGAGTATCGTTACTTTATAATCGTTGTTTTGTGTACAGGTTGAAAGACTTCGGCTTGACGTGGAACTTCGTTACTTATTGTGCGCGGCGATCTTCGTTGCGTGCTCGGTTTAACCTATAAGGGGTTTCTACTTTCTTCTAGTGTAGGATAATTTCAATACTTGGTATTCAAGTACAAAATAATATGTTTTTAATAGTATGTATAATATTTTTATAATGATATGTTAAATAAAACTATGTACTATTAATAAAATTAAAATTAAAAAAAAACAAATCAAATCTCTCATTCATTTCCGGTGAAAACAACACTCTAAAACACACTCTACCCCTAAATAATATCTTATATTGCTTATTTCAACTAAAATTGAAAAAACGTGCGGAATTGCCTAAATAAAAAGCGACAACAAACGGCAAAAGGACAGACCGCCACCGGGTCGGCATGAGCCAAGAGCCACTGATAATAATTGTAATAAAGATATCACACATTTGTCATCCAAAACACCGGCCGGCGTCAAGTCAACACTTAATCATATTGATAACAACTACGTCAAAGTAAGGAATATTTCAGTATCGAGTTTCGAGTCCTCGGTTCGTGCATTTCCAGGGATTACGATTACTGCCGGCGCAAAAGTAACGAATTAACTTAGTAACGAGTAACGAGTCCTAAATTCAAATGGTAAGCGTTACTTCAAGTCCTCGTAAAGTAACTGTTACTTTGTAACGATTACTTAGAATTTTTACATCACTATAATACACTAACCTACCAAATCTCGTTTTTTTATCTGAAAAAATAAAAAAAGTTATAGTAGTGAGCCACTTTTGAGACGCACCCGGTATAACAACAATTTTATAAAATATTTTTTTCACGTACAAAATTAGTTTTTTGTATTACATATTTTTACATGTTTATCCCTCATATTAACGATATCAATTAATCAAAATTTGACCACCGGCATCATTTAAATTATAGCCTAAAATATGACAAACAAACACTTAAAATTTGGGCCATGAAAAAATCGACCGTGTCTTCTGTAGTTAGATAATTCTCTGATATAATCAAATTAATTCTTTATAGAAGTATACAAGAACCTGTTGGCCTCATATACCGAAGTACAATCAAACAAATCCTCCGGAACGCAACCTAATCAGGCCCCATCTACATCAGTATCAACGCAGCAGGTTCCTACTATGGGACCGAGTTCGTCACAGAACCACTCCTTACCCTGGCAACAGCTCTTGGTGCCGCCACCCAAGCAGGTCATAGTTGTGGAGAGGATGCATTCCGGTGCGAGACGTCACGTGACGCTAGATTTCGGCGAATCGGTGTCGTTGACCGACATTTTGATACCGTCATGTTCGGATCTGGTGTCACTGAGCATAGATGTGTGGCTGTTTGGTGAGGAGATCGACGCTGTGCGGTTGGTAACGGCGTCCGATATAGGAACGAAGAATTTGCTGCTTAGCGATTTGCAGCCGCCACCGCTTTGTAAATACATGAAGGTAAATATTTAGGATGTGTCCAAAAAAAAAGTGCCATCTCTCGTGGGGAGATTCTTCACGTAAAAGTAAGATTTATTTTTTATATTCTTTAAATTTTGAGGGTAACGAGAGGAACTTGGATATAGGTTGTATATATAGGTAAACTAAAAAGCTTTATAAAAAAAATGTGTACGATTTTTTTCTCTTGTTAACAAAGTTAGTTATGTAGGCCGTTTAATTCCGATTAAATGTTGTATCTTGATAATTTGTCGATTTCGATCTCCTTGATAAGATAAACGCGAGTTAATCACAATTAATAAAATTAAAATAAAAATAAAATTAATAAATTTATTTAATCTATTTTTTTTTTCAATATTTCAAACTATACTTTTACAAACATGTCTTACAAATCCTTCAATTTAATAGTTGTTAGTAAGAAGTTTCACTTAAATATGCGCACATAGTGCACACAATTTTGTTCATATTTTTTGATAAGAAATCAATGAGAACTTATTTAACACTTTAGCCATTTATTGACATTAGACAAATTTAAACGTTGCTATCAACCTTTAGTACAAGAGCTAGCAACGTCTGGAAAACAAGTATCTTAAGAAATCTGGCTCTTTGATATATCTTTCTATGTTCTCTGGAACAGCGGGCAGGCCGTCTGGCTGCCGATAGACGTTGCGTTCACTACTGCGCGTTGAAAGAAGTTCCTGTATTTTTATTTAGTCGTTTAAGTACTAGTATTGAATATAAATCGAACAAGTCTCCATAGCGCGGCGCGAAAACATTCAGCCTATAAAGCGAGAAGTCCAGACTTCAATACCGGCTCGGGATAAACTTTTTTTATTTTATTTTCGTTTATATTCTAATAGTAAGGTATTAAACAATTTTGGTGATTAAAAAAACACAATTATGAAACTCTGGACTTCTCGCATTATGGGCTGAACGTTTTTGAGCCGCGCTATGGAGACTTGTTCGATTTATAGTCAATACTAGTATTTAACGGAATAAATAAAAAAATAGGATCTTCTTTCAATGCGCAGTAGTAAACGCAACGTCTATCGGCAGCCAGACGACCCGCACGCTGTTCCACAGACCTTAGCAAAAGATATATTAAAGAGCCAGCTTTCTTAAAATACTTTCTCGAAAACGTTGCTAGCTCTTAGACTACTTGTATTGGGACAAATTAATAAAATTGCGTTTATTAAGAGACAAGTTATAATCGATATTAAACGGTTTTTTAGAAGAAAATTTCAGTTATAACACATATGCGCTTTCCTGCTCAATATGTCGACACTTCTTAGCATTAAAATTATCGCAGTTATAGTAAATTTCATTTGTATCGCTAAATGCATTTGGAAGAAAATTATAATAAATCGAAAAAATATTTAAGACCTGGGCCCGTAATCTGTAACTTTGACATAAAAACGTTACGCTTTCAAAGCGGTGAGCGCAAGTATTCGATCAGCGAAACGCAAGGTCGATTTTGGTATTCTCGTTGCCATGCGAATCGTGTTCTGGATACGCGTTGAGCACATATTGGCAACATCACAATTTCTAATGTAGATAATAGTCAAAAGTTGATAACTGACGGATGTAACAATAAAAAATGTCAATGTTATGTGAATTTCATAATCTATTGTTGAGTTATGTCAAGGTATTTTTCTATGGATATGTCATTATTCTTATTATACGAGGGAAGTGTTGAAGACGCTTCTCAGCATTTTCGATGTTTTGAACAATATTTATAGCTGCCAAGTCGTAAATTATCAATTACTTATTGAGGAACTTATAGAAGAAGTAGTAATTTTCACTAATGAGCAAGATAACGCACAAAATCACAATTTTTTCGATTTTCACTGACAGTTCGACAAGCAAAACGATCCTTTAAGGCAACCGTTTTCAAAGCGCTCAGCGCAATCAGTAAAGACGCTAAACGCGTCAGACGAGAATACCGAAATCGATAATTAAGTGCGCGCTTAGCGAATATTAACGTCATATACGCTGAGCGTCTAAAAACGCTTAGCGTTTTCAAAGTTACAGAATACGGGCCCTGTACCTTGTAGCTACAAAACAAAGCAGAATCGGACCTATGTTGATATAAAAATAGATTTGATTTCCACGTGAGGAGTCTCTCCATGAGAGATGGCACATGTTTTTTGGAACACGCTGTATAGAGCTAAAATTTGATCTTTACACTTCTGCACATTTTCTGGAACCAAAATCAAAGCACTAAAGAGAAACAAAAGAAATAAAAATTCGGTATGATCGAAAAAGGAAAATTAGACTAATGCAACAAGTTTCTTATTCGGAAAATTGTCTTTTAATTTTATACAATTCAGTATTAGACAGTAAAGAAAAGTTATTGTGTTAGAGATTTCTTTTATTAGTTAGATTTTCTTAACTTTACTTAATTATTGTCTTGCTTCTAATTTTATATCAATTTTATTAAAAAATAATCTTCAACCAATTAGTTTTTATGAAAGTTTCTCTCTGAATTTTAAGTGTAACTTTCAAAATCATTCAAAGTTTACCATTGAAAAGCTGAAATTAATTATGAAATCAAATTTTTCAGTATATTTGTTCTTTAGTGTTTAAAATATGTCAATATTAATTTGTATTTTTAGATCACATTGGTGGGAAGATATGGCATGTCCACCACAAAATGTAGGATTCCCTTAGGTTTTTTCTATGGTCACGTGGTAGTTGTTCCTGAAGATGTGCCCAGCGAAGCTTACATCAAAAACACCGATTACGACAAACAGTTGGGCATTTTGTCAAAGCTCTTGGAAGATATCAGTTGTAGATACAGCTTGGCGTGTTCGAAGTTGAAGGACTGTCTCCAGCCGTTTTTAATAGCCGATATGAAGAATACGTTGCATTTATCAACGTATATTAATATCTTGAAGGATAAAAATATGAGCATTACGAATGCGGAGCATAGTAAAATATTTTCGGCTTACCAGGTATGTATATAAATTCTTCTTATTATTCATATCAAATACCTTTTCTTATACAGAAACTACAGAACATGGCTGCTCAGGGTTAGCAACTGATGTTATTAAAATTATAGCCGTAATATATAATTATATATAATTAATATATATTATTATTTTTATTCGATCATACGGTATAACAAATACACTGACTTAAATTTGCTCTTTAAAAAATCGCCCATGTTGCTTCTGTATGGTTAGGTATATTAATATGTGGTATTAAGATTTTTATTTGGTATATGAGCGAGATATACGTACTTTTCAGGAAACCTTAACATATCAGCATCAGTTAAACACGGTCAGAAACGTGATGGCGCGTTTAGAATCTAGCGTCCATGGATCAGAACGTCAGGAACCACCTTCCACAACTGTTTCGACGGATAAATTAAATTCCATCGCCGAAGGATTACTGGAAGTCCTTTTATCCATAGAAAACACCGCCGAAATCACCCAAGACTTATGCGAAAGATTCTTCGAAGGACTCTGCGTGTCCCAATCGTCAAGATTACAGCTTTTGGCGGCCGTTTTTCTAGAGAAATCCTGCGGAACTACTACCTTTTGGGGCAACTTCCTTGCAGACACCATGGTTAACCTCTTTTCCACTACGTGTACAGCTATATTTCCCCAGGATCGCCTTTTTATATTACTGGCGTACCTCAGCCGCAAGAGTCCAGAAAGAAGTGCCGTCATTGATGCAGCTATGCGCGTGGTTTACGATACCCTAAAACCGTTAGAAACCAGTCGATCTTTGCTTCTGGCTGTCAACGTGGACCTGCCTCTATTGTCTTGGCTGCTGATGTATTTGTCACTTCAACTGTCGTTTGAAAAAATTCAAAACGATAGATGGGATTGGGTTCTGGGTGAGATGGTTGGAAAGGTGAACGTGGATAATGCGAAAAGTAATGCTAGGAAGAAGACTGTTAAACGGGTGGCAACCACGTTGGGATCATCCGGAACGTGCATGTTATCACCGGTAAGAGATATTAAATTAAAGGGTCACACATTTACTGTCTGAACTTGTTAGATAGTGTCTGGCTTAATTGTAATAACGTGATAAAGAATGTTCAGCGATTGTCCAACGTTACGTCGTCATTATTTGTCAAATATGTAATTTAACTTAATTTGCTACGGTTAAAATACAAAACACTAATCCTATGATAGTAATTTTGGTTCTTTCAGTTCTGTTTAGCACCTGGTCTGTAGTAACACTTTTCACTACACTACTGCCAACGATATCTCGTAGTACTTTGTTTTGGAATCTTTGGATAATATTTCGGTTGCTTTGTTTGGTACAATCTCAGTTAAATACCATAAGTCCATATTGGCTTCAGGATTATTGATATAGCAAAAACTTATTTTATACAGGTTGTTAATTTGTTTATTACTCGCGGCATGAGCTTTATGGTTGAAATATGTCAACCTCGGCCCGCTCGTCGATAGACAATGCGACGAGACGAGTCGGCAGAAAACCCTATAAGTGAATGCGTTCTCAATAGGCAGTATTGCCATTCTGTTCCCCTATAAGTAAATGTGCAGTTAACAGTCTGTATATTGACAGGGTCGAATGTTGCTTTAGTGACCAGTACATTTTCCTGTACTTGAATTTGAGTTCTTCACATTTTTTCTTCACATGCGATTTCCACCTGAGTTTAGCATTAAGTGTTATGCCAAGATATTTAGTTGTATTTTCGTAAGGAACTACTTGTTGATTTATATATACTGGCTTGTACTCGATTCGTTTATTATAGTGAAATCGATATGCACTGATTTGTTTCATTCTAGATTGCTATACTAAATTGCCCAAGGGTGATTTAAAAAAAATCGCCAAGTGAAAAATTTATTGAGAAATTAAGATCTCTTCAACTAAATCTCAATTTTTATTCTATAGAAATATATAACTTTTAATTACAAACCCCAGCTTTTAAAATACGCTACTTACATCTTTAATTAAATAGATTATTATTTCTTATATGCAATACTTTTAGATCTGATGAAAGTCAAACGAACTTAATGATACGTTTTTACAGATTCTTTCTGGTTCGTGGCAAAAACCAATGTGGAAAGAAAAACCTCATAAGTTTATGTTAATAAAAGAACTAGTTGACACCCAGAAAGGTAGCGACGGTCAAAAAGATTCGGGAAGTATAGGAGAAATTGTCGTTGTCCCTCAAAAAATGCCACAATTCATTGACGCAACACACTGCTTAGTTGTATCTAAAATATTATTAAAATTCATAATAACAATGGACCATTCTGGTAGTGCAGATATGATGCTTTTGGCTTTTAAGGTAAGAATTTCGGTTAAATAAAAATACATAAATGTAATATTGTTTTTTAAGATTGTAGCGCGATTAGTAACTTTAGCTAAATTACAATTGTGCCAGTTGTTGACTGAGGATGAGTTATTAGGTTTAGTCAATTTTTCATTATCGTGTAAAGTTCCATGGGCACCTTTTGCTCTTTCCTGTTTTCTTCAAGATGCCTTAGAATTAGTTTCTCAAAATGAGCAGGACGTGATTGAAATGGACACTGACGCATCTACATCTACAACGTGGCCATCTACTGGTATGGATAGCGTATTAGCTTCTTTTAAAATATTAATGAATAATGTTTTAGATATAAATCAGTCAGGTGAAAATGATAATAGTGAAAATCCTTGTGTTTTTATTAATCTCGACGAACCTGAACAGTCTAAAGCTAAAGCGAAAATTACAACAAACAACTTATGCTTTCCTTCGTCTTTGCCGTCAGTTTATGAAAGTGATTATTCAGATTTTGAAGAATTGTTGGAGGACTTCGAAAAAGTGAGATGCTCTACATCTAAAACTTCTAAAATTTCTTTAGCTTCTGTACCAGGAATATCGACAACTATAGATGCAAGATTAGAAAACGGAGTGTTTCTGTCAACAGAAATTTTATTAAGAAAATTAGTTGGAAGAAATACCCAAAAGTTACTGCAGAATATGACGAACGATATCAAATACGAAGAAGTAGAGAACATGCTTACGTCTTGGCCGGTACAAGTACAATCTTTTCAACCCGAGTGCAATATAAGTAATCACAAGATGTTGGCGTTCTGTTTCAATTCATTATTTAAAGATCTGCAAACTCAGGATTCGCTCAGGATTGAGAATATATTACATCTTTGGTTGACGTTGAACAGCGCTAGAAGAGACGAGAAATTTGACTCTTCTGCGATGCCCATTGTCCAGATTAAAGTGGAATCCGTTCATACTTTGATCTCAGCTTTGGCGTGGACACCGGGTTTGTCGTTGACTACATGGTGTCTTGGATTGCAGGTATTGTATAGTCTTTTTCGTCATTCGATGACAAGTGTATAATTACGTATTTTTTATAGGCACTAACGTTGGTGTGTAATACAAATAATAATGGAAAAAAATGGTTTGGTTTGTCTGGTATGGCAAACGCCATCATAAGCCATCGAGATTTTGTACAAATGTTTCTTAGTTTATTGTCGGGTAGTGGTTTGGCATTCACAGAAAAAGCAGTTGTAAGTATAGAACTTTTTTAAAATAAAATAAAATAAAATAACATTATTTATTTTGCTGATATTTTATTGATACTATCTATAATGTAGTAAATTTTAAAGAATTATACCGGGTGTTCCTTAATGACGTGCTAATGTTTAATGGGGCGATCCCTGGACCTACTCTGAAAAACTTTATATGAATGTGTGTCTAAATGTATTATCTTTTGAGATACAGCGTGATAAAATTTTCTAAAATAAACTTTTTTTCATAATAACTCTGATGTTATTATAGATACGAGGGTTGGCCTTTTATGTTTTTACAAAAAGTGAAACAGAAACGAACAAATTCGAAACAATATATTTTATTGCTTTCGAAATATTCTTCCTTAAGATCTATACATTTTTGCATATGTTCAAACCAATTCTGGAAACATTCTTCGCAGAATCCAGAATTCTGGATATCTTTATAAAATTTCATATACGTCTTCTATGCTTAAAAATTGCTTAAAAATTATTTTTTGTGTACAAAAAAATATGTGTTGTATCTCCTAATTTCTATTCAGCCAATGCAGCACTATTTCCACAAAATGTGACCGCATCACATTTAGCGATTTGACCCTGAAGTAAAATGACTTTTATTTTTTTAAGCAAAAACTATGCGTCGGGCAAAAAAAAAATCAAAAATAAAAAATTGTTTAGAAACGAATGAAAATTTTGAAAATAATTTTTATTCTAAGTTTTATTCAGTGGCGTACCATTTTTTTTTCGTTCAAAAACATTCAAGGTAAAATCCGTGGACGCCACTAATTGAAATAAATAAAGTTGTTTGTAGATGAAAACAGGCATTTTGGTGCATACAAGAAATGTATTGTTACCTTTTAAGTTTTTACAATCGCTTGTTTCCTCGGTTGTACTGGACACGTCGCGTCGCAACCATTCCATTAGAGGATCGAAAAACTCTTAATGCCGAATGGTACAACAATTTGTTTGCCAACGGTCTTTGATGAAATAAGGAAAAAGAACAAAAAATGTCGCATCATTCTTCACGACAATGTCAGCACCCACAAAGCACGTCAAACAACTGAACATTTGAAGGAGAAAAACATCGAATTAATGTCTCATTGCCAGTATTTACCCGATTTATCGCCTAATAACTTTTTCTTGTTTCCCACTGTCAAACGACAGCGATAACCATAGAATTAGAATTTAGAATGTGCGGGAGGGGGGTTAATCACTGATGCGACCTTACAGATCTATTGTGTCCCCTTTTCTTGAGTTATAACTCATCATACAGTCCCAGGGCTTTGACAAAAGCCAGTATCTGGGACGGTTTTATAGAGGGTTCTCCATCTCCAATATCAGTCGTACCAAAGTTCATGGCACGAATGGTTGTCGTCTCGGCGCACTCAGTGATGAGGTGTACTGGTGTTTCCCCATTTTCCCCACAGAATCTGCATTTGCCGTTTCTTCTTAGTTTTAATCTACTGATGTGTTCGTTGAGGAGACAGTGTCCTGTTAAAAACCCCGTCACTATCCGAAGATTGTTCTTACTTAAATCCAGGAAGATCTTTAATTTTTCTTGATCGTAAGCCTTCAGAAACTTCTTCGAGTGTCTTAGACCGTTGCAAGATTCCCATTCCATGTTGCGGATGGAGTCTTCCAAGTTCTTGAGTTCCGCCTTGAGTTGGTTACCACTAGGAAAGCAGAACGGTTCTGGTCCAGTTAGTGGAGTGTTCGCTCCTTTTCTAGCTAGATCATTTGCTTTTTCATTGCCTTCTATCCCTTGGTGAGCAGGCACCCAGAGTAGGAGGACTTTGTTTTCTTTGCCTAATTTATTCAGCTTCTCTATGCATTCTTTGACCAATTTCGAATTGATTGATACTGAATTGATCGCTTTTAACGCTGCTTGACTATCAGATAAGATGGCTATTTCTTGTTTCCGATAGTTCCTATCTAAGATAAGTTGTACGCATCTTTCGATATCGTAGATTTCTGCCTGTAGGATGCTAGGGTAGGTGCTCATTGGTTCGGAGTATTTAGTTCTCGACCCAAATACTCTGATCCCTGTTCGAGCATTTGTTTTTTGGAAGCATCAGTATACCAAGTTATGGTATGGTCTTTTAACTGCTGGGCAGACGTTTCTCTCTTCCAATCCTTTTTATTGCTCAATACTACATTGTACGTTCTTGGCATATCATCTACTGGGAGTTGCAGGAGTGGTATTTCCTTTTTAAGGGTGTTCCAAGCCCCTGATCTGACAATTCTCCCATTACTGATTCCGTTAGTAACTAACTAACGACAATGATTCTAATCATTGTCGCATTGGCATGTCTACCAATGACAATGTAGATATAAGCGATAACCATGTTTCTACGATATCAGCTTCAGAGTGGAAAGAATGTTTCCAGAGTTGGTTGATCTGAAAGTTGTTATAAAAAAAATCTTTAAACCCTATATCTCAAAAGTTAAGATGTTTAAGACATACATTCATATGAAGTTTTTTTTCTTTAAGTCAATAATCATCCCAGAATCACCCCCTTAAATATTATTATATCATTAAGGAACACCATCTAAGTATATTTAATTTCTAGGCTGGTCCAACATTGTGCAAAGCACTGCACGATTTTCTTGTAAGACTTCAGGTTCGATGTGATATAGTTAGTCCTTCCAGTAAATTAGGTAACTTGTTCAAAACCCTATTATTAAATGTCGTGTATCAATTGGCACGCCCCAGTGGGCCTATATCGTGTAGGATGGGACCTTTAGATGCGCAATGTAAACTTTTACAATCGATTATTTATTTGGATTTTGCTAATATTGATATCAGCATAGGTATGAGTACACTAGAGAGCACAGGTAAATATAAAACTTGAAACAAGATTTATATCATAGACTAACTTTTTTGTGTTTTCAGCTTCATTATTAAACATGTATTTTCTAAATATTGATCATATCAAGTGTGTAACAGTAGGAGAAAAACATTGCATTATGCATGATACTTTTGGAGATATTTTTGCCAGCGTTCTAGGTACTGACTCGAATAAACAAGACAGACCAGTGTCTTATGAAGATCTGTTAATAAATTTGTTGAAATTATTGGCAAAACTTGTACAAACACCCATGCCACCAGAGTATCCTGTAAGAAAAATATATTTTACTTCTATTTTTAAAGTTTTTGATTAAATAATTCTGTTGTCCTTAGGAAGCGATGGATACTGAATCATCTGTAACTTCTCAGACTGATGAATGTAAGGCTGAACAAATTCAGCAAGAAAACCTAACTTCTACATCACTGCCTTGCTTTGCTGATACAGTTTTGCAACATCATCCAACCGTAATATGCTTATGCAGATGCCTTGCTGCATGCAAGTCATCTTCTTTATGTATGCTACCAAATTTAACACATAAGGTTTGAAACAACTTTGTTGTGTTACAAAATATTTACTTTTTATGGTTTTAGGGTGGATTTCCAATTTTTAACGAACCTAATACAGTAGGAGATGCTGTGTTTCATATTTTAACATTGCTGGCAAAAAAAGCTTCCAGAAAGGAACTGATCATGCAACCATTATTGATGTTCTTATCCACCACACCTCAGCTAAGTGAACCATTAATTTGGTTCATATTACAAGTGTTAGACAATGAAGAAGCTATAAGAGCCTTTTATTCTTCTGGTGAGTGGAGTATTATGGTGTGATTTTGAATTTTTAATTTATAATTTCAGGGGGAGTATCCATATTATCAACAAGTATAGTTAATAGTAGTAACACGCCAAGTACAATATCAAGAAACGGCACAATTTCAACTGTGATGCAACATTTTACTGGATTTACCTCACAACCTGACAATAATACTCCAATAGTGCCAACATCGGCTAACAAAATGTTTCAGGCATCTATTGAAAATAGTTCCTTAATCAATTTTGCACCATATTGTACCATAACATGTCAGTCAGGTACTTCCCAACCTGCAGATGTTCTAATACAGGTAAATATTGTTATGATTTCGTTTTTTTTTTGTATTGCACACTGTAACATATGTACCGGGTGTCCCACTAACAATAGCTCTCGGCTGTATCTCGGAAAGTATTAGCCGTAGAGCTTGCGGAAAAAAATATTTATAACTAAAGAGAGCATGAGAAATTGCTGGAAATTATTTTCAAGTTTGTATAGCGGCCGTTAGAGGGCGCAACTGCTATTAAAAATAAGAAAAAGGAAGGTGTTTTTACACAATTTTGCCTAGATAATGGATACTATAAATAATAGATTCATAATCTTCAGTAAATTTTGCATATTTTTTGTTTGAACCATTTTCCCCTATCTGCCATAATAAAGTGGTGGGGGAAGGTTAGATCTGTTTCTATTTAAACATTAATATCTCCGAACTGGATGAACGGAATCTAACAAACGGGGGCTCGTTTAAAAGAGCGTTTCTTACTCTATATTATAGCGTATAAACAATAATAATAAGCTTTTGAATGTAGACGCTAGGGAGCGCTGTCTTACAATTTAACAAACATTGCGCGTTCTTTCAAAAAAATTAAATGCGATAGTATATATAATTTTAGCTGATACTAAAGAGTAATAAAAGCTTAAAAAGTCAGCGAAAACCGCATCTTCATATCCTCTTTCAAACCGAAGATATTAACAAAATTATAATAAATCCGAAAAAATAGGCCCTTAATTACCTTATTTTTTTAACACGGTTACAGTAGCCCTCTTGATTATGACCATTCTAATAAAAAATAAGATAGAAACGATTGCTTTGTTCTAAAATCGACAATATACCAGAATACGATAATACCAGATGTATTAATATCTAATAATTAAGATATCAATGACAGTGAATAAGAAACGACGCCTCAGTGAAGTCATGGTAGGCTTTGGAAAAAAGATGCTTTTGACGTAATAGTATAAACGTCAAAGAGTTATTAAATCAACATTTTGATAGTCTTAGCAGCGTTTTTTTTTTCTTTTGAAGAAAGACATTTTTAGGAAAGCAATCAAAAGATAAAAAACGCTGCTGAGACTATCAAATTGTTGACATAAGAATATTTTGAGTTTAAACTATCTCTTTAAAAGCAACTTTTTTCCAAAGCCTACCATGAATTCACTGAGGCGTCGTTTCTTAGTCACTTTCATTGATATTTTAATTATTAGATATTAATACACCTAGTATTATGGCATTCTGGTACATTGTTGATTTTTTGAATGAAATAATATTTTCTATCTTATTTTTTATTGGAATGGTTATAATAAAGAGGGCTAGGGATACCGTGTTAGAAAGATAAGGTAATTAAGGGCTTATTTTTTGGTATTTATTATAATTTTGCTAATAACTTTGGTTTGAAAAAAGAAATCAAGATGCGGTTTTCGCTGAATTTTTAAACTTTTATTACTCTTTAGTATCAGCTAAAATTACATATACTATCGCATTTAACTTTTTTCGAAAAAACGCGTAATGTTTGTTACATTGTAAGACAGCGCCCCCTAGCGTCTACGGTCAAAAGCTTATTTTTATTGTTTATATGGTATAAAATAGAGTAATAAACGCTCTTTTAAACGAGCCCTCACATGTTGAATTCCGATCAACCAGTCCGGAGTTATTAACATTTAAATAAAAACAGATCTAACCTTCCCCCGCCACTTTATTTTAGCAGATAGGGAAAAATGGTTCTAACAAAAAATATGCAAAAATTACTGAAGATAATGAATCTATTATTTATAGTATCCGTTATCTAGGTAAAATTGTGTAAAAACTCCTTTGTCTTTTTTTTAATATCAGTTGCGCCATCTAGCGGCCGCTCTACAAACTTGAAAATAATTTCCAGTAATTTCTCATGCTCTCTTTAGTTATAATTTTTTTTCCGCAAGCTCTACGACTAATACTTTCCGAGATACAGCCGAGAGCTATTCTTAGTGGGACACCCTGTACATACTACTCGTTAACATCCTGCCTTGACCGTTGACCTCTTCTTGCGTCTGTACATACGTCACTTCTGTCATTCTGTTTTTATACGAGACTTTACGATGTCATAGAAGCGCCATCTCTCGATCGTCTGCATCAGAGACTATCGACCTTTTATACCGGGTGCGTTTCAAAAGTAGCTTACCACTATAACTTTTTTGATTTTTTTAGATAAAAAAACTAAATTTGGTATATTAGCTAAAATTTGGTTTTTAAGCTAAAATGTCAAAAGTTGACATATTACATGTCATTCTACTCTATACGTCAATCAATCCCAATTTATGTCATATATTTGATATGTCCAAATCTCGTTTTTTTTATCCAAAAAAAATAAAGTTATAGGGGTGAGCTACTTTTGAGACGCACCCAGTATAAATCTTTTCATAGAAAATCATCGTTTCATGCATTATAGAGAGATGTCGCTAGTCGTTTCATTATGACTTTTCCAACATTATCTAAAATTAATTTATTAAATATTTTCTAATCCATGACATTTAGGGTCTGTCTGGAATAACTCATAGAAGAGCTCGTACACCACTTTGGTCTTACAATTATTATCAAGAGGAGACTCATACAGAATTACTTCTTCAACTCCCTAGTGCTGTGTTATTAAAGGAAGTTCAACTGCAACCTCACGCGGGCGGTTTAGCTACGTGTCCGTCATATGTGGCGATAGAGGTAAGTTAAAGCTTTTTATTTTAATTGTTCACTGGTACATTAATTTTCGAAAATCTAGACGTCGGCTAACGGACCGTCAAGATTGGTACCAGCCTGTCATCCTCTGCCAACAAGTGGCCTTACCTACATTAGACTGCATTTACCAACAGCCAAAGTTGTAAATTGCATTCTAATTAGATTGTATAAACCTCGGGTCGGAAATAGTATAGGACTTTTGCAAATCCGCATCCTTGGAACTTATGCTTTTGGAAAAACTTTCAACCCCAATTCTTTTGACACTGAGGATGATAATTACTCTAATCATAGTCTAGGTACGGTAAAGTAAATGAGCGAAAAATAATTTTAGGTTATAATGTGTCAATTTTTTATAGGTTGGCTTAGATTGTTGCATCATTGTTTCACTATATCAATCGATTCAGAAATGAGACGTCAGCTAGTAGAATCCGCCTCGCAAACTCCTAGTTTATTGAGTACATGTTGTGGGTTACTTTTGGTGCCATCTCATATACTACCAGTTTATTTACCATGTTTAGAGAAGGTTCTTAGAGAACTCGCATTGTTTAGTCCAGAAAATGGTATAGCTACTATTCAAATACTTTTGGATAATCGACTAAGTATAGTAGAACCGATGATATCTCTCGACAACGTTTGGCAAGATAGACTAATGATTAATGTGTCTGGATATCAATCGGCTTGTGAATTACTGTATCAAATATGTGAACATCAGGTATGTAATATTTAGACATAAATTGTGATTCCTGTATATAATTTAATATTATTCTTTTAGGATGCTCATACAGCCTACAGAGTAAAAATGATTTTAGAATGGTTGCATAATACAGCAAAGGAGTATTTAAAAACTGGCAACTCCAACAATTGTAATGCTGCCTATATATCTAGCATTGCATCTATTCTTTGGTTTAGTAATCAGTCTCAAGTGAATTATGACCTAAAGTCTCTTATATCACTTGAATTCTTTGATACAATCTATGCCCTTAAAATGCAAACTATAAACAACAGTTTAAAGTATGCTTTTGATTCGCTTTTATGTTCCCTTTGTTATATTCACTCGGAATTTTTTCCTATATTGCTACAAAAAATTGGCGTACTTGTACCAAATTTGTCTACTGATCGTGGCGCCTCCATCAGCGACGACAGGAAGGATACTGAGGGAATGACAGACGATCATAAGCAAGATTATGCAAATTCTGAATGGTATAGCCATTTGGTTATTGGTCAACTGTCTGAACTGAATTTAACCAAAGATCAGCTAGAAACGGTGGCGTTGGCTAGTAGATCTCCAACCGCAATCCAACAACTTCTCGATTCTGGATTACCAAAATTATTGAACAGCGCTATATACGAGTTTTGTAGCGATCAGAATAACAGCGTACCTATGGCTAAATTAGAAAAAGTGACGGTTATTCTGCAATTCTTTACAGATATTTGTGATGAAAAAATGTTGAGAGATTGGTTGGGGTCTCCAGACGGTTCATCTTTTTGGCCCCATCTATTGCATTGGCTTTGCAAGAAACCATTTTCTAGTTCGAGTATCCAGTCAGAAGCCCACGTCAATTTGGAGGAGGTGTGCGTTAAATTCCTTTCGAAATGTTGCTTATGTCACAGTGCTAATCAAGCACGACTGGCTAAAGTATTATGCGATGTAATATCGCTTCAGCAAAATGGAATATCCGGATTTTTGCGGAGATTAATTTTGCAATTGCTGCTTGAAAACGAAAAGGTACCAGTCAGTATTGAAGCGGACGAGACTTTGTATAAAACGTCAAAAATGCCGCAAGTTTATATTCCCGCACACCCAGCTTTTAAGCAGACTTATAACCGGACAATGCTGTACCTAAGCACAACCACTACACTCGGTGATATTTTGGAACAACATCTGTTCTTCAATACCACCTATAAGTCTGATACAAATTTGTCTAAGAAGTCATCCACCACTATTAAGAAGGATATGCTGAAAGATTTCTTCGTTACTGACTTTTCTGATTTAAGCGTAGCCGCCGGTGTTACCGCCAAAGATAAACGTGCCAAAGATCTGAAAAATCAAGCGACGGCTACGCCTCAATCTAAAAAGAAACGCTACACTTCCGAAGCGGTCAGTGGAAGTGATGTCATGGAAGGCAGGCTGGTTAAATGCCTGGCGTTTTCGGACCAGCCGCTACCGTTGAACTTGAACCTGGGACAGTTACTCAGGCTTATGGAATCGAAGAATATAACCAACGATTGGCCGTATATTCATTTGACCATATGCCAAAGTAAGAACAACGAGGACAAGAATCAAAACAAGGACGCGATTAAGCTGATCCAACAGCAACAGCCGATTTGCAGTGCTTTACAGGTGTTCAGTTCGATGGGGGGCTTGGCTTTACTGGCTCAGAATCTACCGACGATTTATCCAGAAGCGGTCAGGATACCTAACGTGGAAAAATCAACGTTAGATCAGTCTGATTCTGACTGGATCAAACTGGAAGGTATTTTTTTATACATAAGCAGATGATCCAACTTTAACCAGACAACTATAAAATTATAATATCTGTATGAATATCTTAATAATTTTTTAAACTTACTTATTATTTTTTAACTAAATTAAATTTAAAAAGACTAAACTTAAAAATGTACTGAGGTAAAAGGCAAATATTAACATAAGTTGATACTTACTAGAATAAATATTATATTAATAGATAATGATCTATAAATATTTAAATAAAAAAGTATGTTACATCTGTTTTGTATATCTTGGGTATCTTCGCTTTGTATAGTAAGGTTTGTCTTAATTTGTCTGAGGCAATCTTTAAAATAGATATTTTTAGAACATATTTTATTTTAAACTTTTTTATTCGCATATAGAGTTTGTCTGGTTAACATAAGATCGTCCACCAGACATATTCTTAATTGTATTTTCTTATAGAATGTGATGATATCTACGAGGATATAGAAGAAACAGTTGGTAGCAGTTCACCATCTAAATCTTCAGGAGTAATATCACACATCCCACCCCATTCTTTGACGGCATTTAGTCTTTTTCTAAGATTACCTGGCTATGCAGAAGTTTTATTAAAAGACACCAAGAAAGCTTTGTGTCTCTTAAGATTAATGCTAGGAGTTACAGATGATGGGGAAGGTAAAACATTAATCCTTTAAAAAAAATAGAATTTTATGTAACTCTTTCTAGGTGGAGACATATTCCAATCGTCAGTGGCTGCTTCTTTGCCTACATTGCCGTTTGAGGTACTACAGAAGCTTTACGACAGTTCGCCGTTTTGTTCCGATGATGGGCGCTTATTGAGAAAGATAAGTATTACAACTGGCGTAATACAATTATTGTTGGCCTGTTTGGGAATCTTGACTCATCATTCAAATACCAGTAACGATAAAGATGCCCAAAAAGATTCAAAGTCCAAAGAAGATCGTCAACATTATTGGGCTAAAGGTTTGAAATCAAACATCCAATGTTTTATCTACATGTTTTATCTTTCTTTGTGTTTTTAGGTACTGGTTTTGGGACAGGGTCAACACAACAAAGTTGGAATGTAGAACAGGCTCTTTTGAAACAGAAACATGAAGAAGAGCATATTACAGTTATATTACAAGTATTAGCAAGTTACATAAATCCGAACGACGAAGCTAGTGATGAGCTTAGTGGAAATGTTTTACCGCCTCATTTCGCAGAGTTTTTGGCGAAAAGGTAAGAATATTATACTTTTCATTCAAAGTATGTATGATTTTCACAAACGATATCTTTAAAAATGACGGGAAGATTTACCTACTATGACAATCTACTTTTGTATTAAAACGACAGAGAACTATCACTAAGTCCTTAAAGCTAAGTCGAGGGGTGTTTCATTTTGGTAAAAAATGTACATGTACTGCCATATAATTATAGTCGACTGATGCTGATGACTGTCAGTGACTGCCAAGAAAATGTAAACGTAATCCGACAGTGAGACACCCCTGCAGTTAAGTTAACTTTAATGACTTAGTGATAGTCGTTTATGTAAATATACCGTGCTGGCAACTCTTACTTTTGGGTCGATATTTACAGGTGAGGAAGTAAATCGCATAGGGATCTTATTAAGTCGGATTGAGAGAAATGCGACGGTGTGCTGTTGCGGCGTTGCCACATTTGTCCGGTACGCCTTTCCCTATCAAATAAAGTAAAATCACGATCGCAAACTGCTTACTTTTAAGAGACCTTTTTTCGAAAAGATAACTAGATAAAGTCATTACATCTGTTTCTGAGCATCTGAAATGGAATTATAAAGATATCGTTAGGGACGTTAGGGTGTCCATATTTTTTATAACGAGAAAACGTCAGTAATCGGTAATTTAAAAACTCAACTGTTTTAACACATAACACGCGTTAACTGAAAAACACTTTAAATATTGAAACTCCGAAGAAAATATAGCAGAAATATTAAGAAAGTTTTTGAAAAAAACTACAATCAATTATTTCTGATGAATTTCGAGATATCGATTTTTGAATTCAGAGTTCTAATAGTACGACTACTGTCGAACACCAACCCAATTTCGATTATTTTTCACTTATTTTTACCAAAAGGTGCAAGTGTTTGCAATTTGCACTTAAAAATTTACAAACTACAGGGAAAATTACAACGACTCGTTAATAAATAAACAAACTCGTTAACAAAAAACAAGCATCACGAAAGCTGAACGCATGATATACACCCTTTTCTAGAATTTTAAGTATCGATTGGGTCGACCGCGACGAATCTGCTCTATCCCCTCCCACGTCTCTTAACAATGTGCACCAACTCGTGCTTTTCTCGGTTTATTTTATATGTTTGGTAACGTTTTTACTGTTCTATCTTTGTTTAGTACATTATAAACGCATTGTACTCTTCTTACATACGGAAAATTCGACCCAAAACTAATCTTTGCCAGCCCTTAGTATACTCTTTCTTGGTAGACTATGGTTAGAAAATTAAGGGCGCAGACTACACATTTTCTTTTTTTGTTTCAGTTCATTGTTACCCGCTATAAGTTATTATTTAAGGAACGATTCAGTATTAGATATGGCTAGGCACATACCTTTGCACAGGGCCGTATTAAAAATTCTTAGAGCTTTGGCTGCTAGTTCTCAACTTGTTGAATTACTACTTCCACAGAAATCAAAAGAGAACGAACCTTCAGTTTCTGCGTTACTGAAGAATATGAAGAGCTGTGTCGATATTTATGCGAATAAATTGAGGTACGTCAGTGTGGTTAATTTGTTTTTTCAGTATAGGTTATTTAAGTATGTATGGTAATCGCAAAACAATTTCCGATGCACGTGATCAACTTTGAGTGACAAGCGATGGCGACAGCGCTGCCAGATTGTGATGGATTTATGTGATGAGTCTTAATTTAAAATTGACAAACAACATATTTATTGTATAATTTTTGAAAGATTAGAGTTTTAAGTTTTATTTTTAATTTAACAACTAATATTTTAGTGATTAATTGATTTATTTGTTTTATAGCTTATTTCACTTATTACATATTGTCAAAAACTAGTCCGTTATGAAGATTATTATAAGCGTTATTATGGATTATTTATTTATTGATGTACATCTTACAACGCCATAAGTGGTTATAACAAGTAAGAGGGTACTATTAATGCACAAACTAATAATCACAGGATTTAATAAAAACTAACTTTGAAAGTGATATAATGTGCTTATCAATCAAACTTACTTTTCTGACTGCAGTCAAGGGTAATAAAGGACCTTTATTGTCACGTTCTCGTCCAAAATAGTTTTACAATTGCAGCTTTAATCTCAATAAAATATCTGTTACAAACATTTGCTCTATAAAGTAAAAGGAAGAGCTGCTCGGTATCTTAATTATACTACAAATTTAAACATTTTTGCCAAAATTTTATTTAGTCAGATTTATAGACTTTAGTGTCAATGTCTATATGATTGATGTGCATCGGAAAATGTTTTGCGATTACAATATGTGTAACGATTGCCGCCTATTTTTTTTTGTTTTGCCACAATTTACCTAAAATCTCAACGAGACTCACAACAGAAACTATATTTGTATAGTTTCTATACCACAGAAACTATACAAATAGCACCCAACACTCATCCACTATGTATTTATGCTTAGATTGTTTTTATATCAAAATGATAAGCAACATGGTGCTCACTACTTTGTAAGAAATAATTGTTGTAACTGATTATAGCAGTTTAGTTCTAGGTTAGGTTAGGTTAGGTTGGAAAGGAATGAGAGGAGGGTTTGTTTTAAAGCACTTCCAGTTCTTCGCAAAGTTTTCGATGTCGCTGATGTTAACTTCTGCTGCTTCCTCTAGTCCCTCTAAAAAAACCGTGCCCTAAAGTTTTAAAGCATCGGTTTTCCAGTTTCCACCAGCACAGCAGGTGCTACGGATTTGTCTTCCTTTCCGCATTCCTCTGCAGTAGTCGTCGTTGGAAATATTCCATTTCACGAGGATTATTCCCGTGGGGCAATTTCCAGTGACAGTGGCAGTTCCAGTGACGGCTCCTACAATTATGTGTACTAGGTTCTTTTTTGGTGCTGTAGTAGTGGTGTTATCATTCTGCTATCTACCACCACTGGCCACAGTCTTCGAACTGTAGCGCAGTCTTCACAGGGTGGTCCCGTCTCCTGCTGCTTGGCCTTGATGGTAGTTCATCTGACCCCCAGCACAGAGTGGCTCCGCCTTGACGCAGCTAAGACAGTGCTTCTCAGCAGTTCATCAAAATTTTCGATCTCACAGATTGCATGGTGATGCTTCTTCACAGATTGCATGGTGATGCTTCGCCAAACCAAACCAAACCAAACCAAGCTCTCAGAGTATATCACTAGTTTAGTTCTAAATAGATATAAAAATTATTTGTATATGTGTACAAATTAAGTATTGTGCATTTTCCTCTTATTATTAGTAATGCACACTAGTAACATGAGTAAAATTAATTTGCGTATTTTTTTGTGAGAAAATTAAAAATACTTACTCAAAAACGCATATTTGGGGGGTGTAGGAAGTCACAAAGCTACAAGACTTCAATACACGATCAGGAAATTTTAGGGGATTGAACATATAGCACTAACAAGTTTTTTAAAGTTTTTCGAAAATGTTAAGAAATATATAAAATTTAAATCTTTTTTAGTTCGAAAAAATGTCATATGTGTTTCTGGGGTCGAAACATACAGGGCGTCCCATTTTCCTGTGTTTTACAGGGTTTCTCATTTATGAGTATAGGTACAAAAATGGCAGTTTTCACATTACTGTGCCACTTTTTCATTAAACTGAATTTTGCTTCTAGTGTATCTAAAGAAGCTACACACATATTGGTCCTAGCCTTCTCGAGTTACATCCCTCGTATCACAACGTATGTCGATAATGTGAAAACTGAGTCCTATAGATTTTTTCACGTAGAATTCAGTGGGGTCACTAGATTTTCGCTAGGAGCTGTCATTCTTTAAATATGACCCGAACATAAATATCTTGGTTTAAATAAGCATATAATAAAAAATAAATGGTATAAGTATGTATGAGTAATTCCTTGTATTCTTTTTTTTATTTTATTTTATTGCGATGGTTATCGAAAAATGCAACATTTTCAAATTCGCCCTGTATTTCCGGAACTAAGAGGGCTAGGACAAATCTGTGTGTAGCATCTTTATCTAATTTTATAAAAAGCAGCAGAGTAATGTGAAAACCGCATCTTTGTATCTCTACTCATAAATGAAAAATCCAATAAAGTCCACGAAAATGGGACACCCTATACTACCAATTAAAATACTTGCAGTTATTTAAGAGACACTCGGTATGTTAATATTTTTTTCGATAGGGTTCAGAACTCGAAATCGACTTCAAATTCCGGCAAGTCGAAATCGAGTTTCATCGACAAGATCGAAGAACTTGAGCAGGGTGAAGGTCTTGCCACATTAATGCCGGATATCCAGAACACGGCTAACCTTGTAGCGAAGGTTACGTTCGGTTTGATAGACGAAAACAATTCGGATTGCGAGAATTCGCTGGAGAAGAGAATGATGGTTTCCCCCGAGGAACAGTATATTAGAATAATGAAAAATTTACAGTTTGGTAAGTATATTTATTAAAAAGATTTTTACTAAAATTTTGCATTTTAACATAGTAATTGATGAAATGCCTTTACTTCCTTTTACCCTCTGAATACTTACAACTTTAATACTTATATTTCCGGATATATCTTCAACATTTCGTCATACATCTTCATAGTCCAAGAAAATAGGCCTTTAAATACGATGTTTTGGTAAAAACTTGAATTTTTGATATAAGTTACTTTGAAAGATCTTAAAATAAATAGTGAAAGATTTTTTAAATTCACCCCCGAGAAGGGGTGAAATAAATAAAATTATTTTTTCGAAATTTCGGAGAAACGGTAAGAACTAGAAAAAAAGTTCAAATGATCTCTATGCTTTTTTTGCTCAGATCAAAATTAACCGAGATAGGGTGGCTAGAAGCTAGGGGATGATAGTAGAAAATTAAAAAAAAAATAATTGTTGCTGAAAAAATTATTTATTTAACATTTTTATTCAATTTGTTTGGAAAATTATAAATTTCAATTAATATTTTTTTAAATTCACGCCGAGAAGGGGTGAAAAATATATTTAAAGTGTTTTTTTCAACCAAACGGTTAGGACTTTGAAAAAAATGTTTCAATAATAGTTGTCTCCTAGCTTTTAGCCATCCTATCCCGGTTAATCTTGATTTGAAGAAAAAAAGCACGGAGAACATTTTTACGTAAAATTGAACACTTTTATTTCGACTTTTTTTCTAGTTCTTACCGTTTCTCCGAAATTACGAAAATTTGTGAAGGGGCGGGTGAATTTAAAATATCTTTTACAATTCGTTTTTAGATCTTTCAAAGTACCTTATATCAAAAATTCAAGTTTTTACCAAAACTTCGTATTTGAAGGCCTATTTTCTTGGACTCTCAATATATAGGATGGTCCGAACTGTATTGCGGAAACTTTGGCATCATATTCTGCAGATAAAAATAAGTACAAAAGTTCGTATAAATATACATTCTAAAATGCTTAGTTTTTGAGGTACAGGCTGTAGAAATTTCATTTTTATTTCGATTTGTTTCAAATAATTTCTGAAGTAACGTCAATATTTGAATGAAAATTAGTGTCTGGGAGTTTTTTGACTTGAGAAATTTGATTTTGATGTCAATATGACTCCTACTTAATAAGTAAAGGGCGCCACCTACGTATTTTTTAACTGATTAGAAATGTAATAACTTTTCCTCCGTACCTGTATAAAACTACTGAGTAAAAATATATACATTTACGACGTTTTTTATGGAAAAAAGATCTCTTGGTAAAAATCACCATGACTAATGGTTCTCGAGATATTTGGAATCGAAATTATCAAGACCTGTCATCATTGACATAAATTAGAAATGTTTTTATGCTAAAAGTTCCTAACAGAAACTGTTTTATCGTCAATTTTTTTCGAAAAAAAAAATTTATGATTATTTTAAAAAAAATAAAAAGTTTCCAAATTTATTATTTCAGTCAATAACTATCTACTCAATATGTCTATTTTTTGTCAATAATGACATGTGTGGACTAATTCCATTCTAAATATCTGGGGAGGCATTTTTATGTAGAAAATCCCGGAAGCGTATTTCCATAATATACCATGTAGAGAACATAAGGTCTCTAAGCCCCGCCCGCAAGCTTAGTTCAGCAGTAAAGATGTCTCTAACACGGTATAGAACGGAATGGGAAATGCGCCAAAATCGGGTATAGTTCGTAGTCGCATTACTGGCGTTATTTTTGATACATAGCATAAACAGTAACATTCATTTGTGTAAAATAATACCGTATGGTAAAAAACAGCGTCAGCGATGGCTATGAAATGCAGAGCGCTGTCATTTTATATATAAATTTAATGGAAAATGTCATCAATCTTTATTTCCCAGCCAACTGGACGCCGTTTTTTTCGACCATGCGGTATATATTTATTCTTTATCATTACATTCAAAATATGACTACAAAATATAAAACAAAGTAAATATCAACAAAAATAACATTTAATTATTAACTAATGTATATTATATTAATTTCTTTAAAATATCAGCCACTTAAAAAATAATAAAAATAAACATTGTTATGTCCTGTTAGAATTGTTTAGTTTAAAGTATTAAATATTAATGTCTTTTGGCATTTAGTGTATTTTTGGTAATATTTTTGCTCAAGCACTATTTTTCTAGTCTGTTCTCTTGGGATAGCCTTACTGATAGCCTTCTTTTTTTCAAGTGCAAACAGCAAGTTCTTCTGGATAAAGCTCTTGGTTGTACTGTAATATACTACTTGCTTTTTTTACAGTTTATTGTAGTATTTTTGAGAAATGTTTTTAACTGCTGCACTGTGTCAATATGATGTGACATTATTAAACCGTGTTAATATTTCTAGCATCTGATTACTTTTCTATTTTTGTGTTAAACCTGGTACTTAGTACTTTTTTCTATATTTGTTTTCAATAAAGCATGTTGGTCTTCAAAACTGCCTTCCTTAAATTCTTCCAGCCCGACAAATATTATTTACTTACAGCACTGTTTTTTGGTGAATAGCTGTTGTCTCTTGTGAAGCCGAATTACTATTTATATCGTCAATTTTACTTCAGATTTTATATTTGTTAACATAATCTCTAACGTACATTGCTCAGCCATCCTGATACTTGTTTACAATTCGCAACGGTCGCAAACTGTCTAATTCAATGCAAAATACAAGAAGTGACTAAGAATGTGACATATATCACGTTGTAACGCTGAGAAGGCAACTCCATACTATACCACATTTAGCGCGTTGTCTTATTCCATTCTATACCGCGTTAAAGACATCTTCAATGCTAAACTAAGCTTGGAGTCGGAGCTTTCCAAGCTTATGTTTAGGCTATAACATATATATAACCCTATGCTCTCTACATATTATGGAATTATGGTATATTATGGAAATACGCATCCCGGAAATATATAATTTTTCACTCACTAGTTTTATACAGGTACGGACGAAAAGTTATTACCGTTCAAAATATTTAAAACACATGTAGGTGGCGCCCCCTACAAATAGGAGACATATTGACATCAAAATCAAATTTTTCATGCCAAAAAATCCCAGAGATCAATTTTCATCCAAATATTGACGTTACTTCCTTTGAATTAGAAGACTAAAGAAGGAGCATATCAAAAATCTTAGGTCCACCGCGATGGGACTCATATATGGCCGACTTAAATTCCGGTTTATCAGTGCCGTTCTAATTTTATTTAAAAAATGTAAAACAATGATGTAGGGTAGACGTGGAGTAGACTCAATATTTTTTTTTATTTTACGTTGTGAATAAATGTTGGTAGTTATTAAAATTGTTATTAAAACATATTATTATAATACAAATAGATAAGTTTTAATAATTACTTATTAACACAAACATCCGATACGCTACTGAAGCAGGTAAGTCAAAGTGACGTATCTAAATTCTTTGACATCTAATCTTTGACAAGTAGTAAAAAAAAGCAAAAATGCAAGAAAAAATATATAATTAGTTAATTTAAGTGAATTTCATAAATGATTGGTTTACTACACGTATGTATATTACGTAGTCACTTACTAGCGGAAAGTTGTTCCATTATTTCACTCAATTTTGCCGAGAACTACCGCACGCTACACAACCAAATATTTTAGAGTCTTTTTCGATAAATCGCGATAGTGTCACTGTTAATTTAAGTTCTGCCACAATTTCCATCTAGATTTACTACCTTTATATATCTATCAGTAGTAGAATAAATAATAAATAACATAAAATAAGCTCCGTAAAGACTGACAAATCCACAAAATTTCAAATCAAATTGAAATGTGTCAAATAAATCGTCAAACAGAACTGTCAAGGATCCCCACCCTAGAGTCCTTTTTCCGCCCACCATACATGAATACATGGATAGCATTATGCTCCTTCCTTAGTCTTCTTATTCAAAGGTTACTTGAGAATTTATTTGGAAAAAATCCTAATTAAAATGGAAATTCTACATCCTGTATCTCAGAAACTAAGTATTTTAGGACATACATTTATATGAACTTTTTTAGTTATTTTTATCTCTAGAATATGATGCCGAGGTTTCCGGAATACAGTTCGGACCACCCTGTATATACCCATAATTAAGTACCTTATACATCTCCTATTGAATTCGTTTTTATTTAGAATCGAATTTATTTTACTTCCTTTTCCACTTCGGTTATTTTTATGGCTTTTTTAAAAGCGTTAGTTCCATAGATATAGTTTTAATTAAAAAAAGTCATATTGAAAGCCATCTGTCGATGACATATCAGATTTTTACATCTCAGTTGTTTGATCTTCTGTTAAGACACGAAAGAGTATAGACCATAGATGAGATATTCATATATTCAACATTTTCTATTAGAATAGTTTGATATGTTAGATGTTATAACATTTAACTCTTAATAATAGTACTATTATAATTTGTTACAGCATCTTACGAAATGATTGAAGAGCAAGAAGACGGCAGTATTAAGTTTGTAATATCCCACCATTTCGAATCGATGGCTAAAAGTACGACGGAACAATCGCATCCGACCCGAGTAAAGAGGATAGCTCAAGAAACTGTGACGCTTTCGACCAGTTTACCTTTGAGCTATAGCAGCTCAGTGTTTGTTAGATACGATACGTCACGTTTAGACGTCATGAAGGTAGGCGTTATTGATTTTAATTGTACAGGGTGGGCCAAATTGGTCGCTTTTAAAGGGAAACACCCTTTTCTATAGGAGATAACCAAAAACTAATATCGGTGTCTGGAGCTCAATTTTTATCAAAAACGTGATGATGAAAATCGCACATCGATATCTGTTACCGTTTCGGAGTTACGGGATGTTTTTCAAAAATGAGCATTTTTAACAAATCGTTATAACTTTTTTGCTATGGAGAATTTGGTATTTTTGTGAAAACATTTTCAAAGCAGCTTTTTACATAGAATTTAATGGTGTAAGTATATATATATTTTTTTTAAATTCATAATTTAAGAACTATCAACAGAAAATTTGATTTTTTATATAGGACACCTTGTATATTTTTAATTCATTGAAAAACATTTAAAATTACCTTTCCAAAAATTTACATACTTGATATTTTGCTCGACTATATGAGGTTAGATATATTTGTAACTGGAACACTCATTGTGCTTCTGCATCGGTTGGTTGGGAGAAAGGCCTCACCCTTCGCTGCACTCATCCGCTGGTGGGTAGCGTGATTGCCCGACTAACGTTGGAGAGCTTGTAAGACTCCACCAGTCTCAGTGCGTGATGGGGAGGGTCAATTCTCGTATCTTCCTAGAATATAACAAACAGCAGTATTCTACTCAACACAATTTTTAAGTACCCAGTTTTGTGGTGGTGTTCTAAATTACCAATTGGACTGTCTGTTCGTTGCCAATGAAGGTACAATAAAAATAACTTGAAATTAAACATGTATATAGTGTAGAGTGATTGAAATAAGCAATATCAAATCTAAATCCAACTACTCATAATAAAAATTATAATTAAAATTAAAAAAAAATAGGCAATGACAGTTTAGATAAAAATTGTTGAACAGTTATCCAAATTATTTAAAAAAAGTAAATGTCTACTTTTTTCAAATAATTATACTTTACCCTATTATACTTTAAAAAAGTATAATAGGGTCCTTGCACGTGTCGGGTATTTTATTACAGGTTATGGAAGAGAAATACGTATAGGTAGATAGAATCAGATAGAATAGTGAATGCGAAATTTCTAGATAAAATATTAACAAGTAGTATTGTATTTAAAGGTATGAATTGAGTTAATTAAATGCTAATTATTTACTTAACCTATAGTTTTCTTTAAATATATACATATACTTACTGTTAACGTTAAAAATATTCATGGCATAAATGAATAAGGGCAAAAACATTCAGGAAATGATTATTTAATAGAAAATAAAAGGGGTTTTTATGTAAACCTTTTTGATTTGGCGTTTTCGTACGTAATATCTGTTAGAGTTTAAAAGAATTTTACACGAATCTATTTTGTTAGTTTAAAAAAACAATGAACATGAAATGGATGAAAGAGTAGAAACCGCCGGCGCCGAACACCAGTCCAATTTTATGATTAAAAATGCTCGTTCAGTGACGAAGTATAATTTTATAAAATCAATCAAAACACATATAGTAGACTATTTTTATTCACATAGGCTTGTTGACAAGTTGTGAACATAAATCGTGTACCTACCTATTTACTTTTGCTCCTCCAATTTTGGCAGAAGTAAACAAAAATAATAGGCGATCATCGTCGAATCTACTTTCCGTAGATTGTCTGTGCTTTATTATAATCCGGTTCTGTCATAATTCTAACAAACTGAAACACCCAGTGATATCTAAATAAATTTGCAAAACATTTAATAAATTAGAAATTATTTAGATGTCAAATGGTCATTGGGAAAAGCTTATTAAAATTTAAATGGAATGCGTTCGCTGTGAGCCGAAAATTTTAAGATCTTTGACGTCACGCCTCGTTTTCGCGCCAAGCGAATTTCAATGAATTTCAATCATTAATTTAAGTACTTTCCAGATGGAATTTGTACAAACTGATTTACATATATTATATGTTTTAGGTAAAAATGTATTAGAAATCATAAATACATATTTAAATTATACCCGACACGTGCAAGGACGACTTATTTGTAAAGATAGAAAAAAAAATATATATATATATATATATATATATATATATATATATATATATATATATATATATATATATATATATATATATATAATTATATAAGAGTTTCTTGCCTTGAACTGCTAATATAGAAATTAATTCCACGCTATGTTCGACATAATGTGGATCAACCTGCTCTCACTACCGGTTTCGGGGCCCTACCACATTATCAGGTGAGCTTGGGTATCTCCACAATATGTCGAGCACAGCGCAGAGTATATAAACACGACTTGTCGTAAAGTAGCGGTAAGATATTAAGTCCCGCATGAATTTCAATCATTAATTTAAGTACTTTCCAGATGGAATTTGTACAAACTGATTTACATATATTATATGTTTTAGGTAAAAATGTATTAGAAATCATAAATACATATTTAAATTATACCCGACACGTGCAAGGACCCTATTATTTGTAAAGATAGAAAAAAAAAAAAAAAATATATATATATATATATATATATGTATGAAAATATATATATATATATATATATATATATATATATATATATATATATATATATATATATATATATATATATATATATATATATATATATATATATATATATATATATATATATATATATATATATATATATATATATATATATATATATATATATAAAATTATATAAGAGTTTCTTGGCCTTGAACTGCTAATATAAGAAATTAATTCCACGCTGTGTTCGTCATAATGTGGATCAACCTGCTCTCACTACCGGTTTCGGGGCCCTACCCCATCATCAGGTGAGAAATACCCAAGCTCACCTGATGATGGGGTAGGGCCCCGAAACCGGTAGTGAGAGCAGGTTGATCCACATTATGTCGAACACAGCGTGGAATTAATTTCTTATATTAGCAGTTCAAGGCAAGAAACTCTTATATAATTTTATTATATACCTAAAAACTGCAAGAAATTTATTTTCCATTATATAATTTGGGCTAGCCGAAAAAAGCCTTTATTTACTATCGATAGTTGTGCCTCGGTGGTACGAAAGTACTACCATTGCACGCAGGCCGCTATCTCGCGATGCGGGACTTAATATCTTACCGCTACTTTACGACAAGTCGTGTTTATATACTCTGCGCTGTGCTCGACATATTGTGGAAATACCCAAGCTCACCTGATGATGGGGTAGGGCCCCGAAACCGGTAGTGAGAGCAGGTTGATCCACATTATGTCGAACACAGCGTGGAATTAATTTCTTATATTAGCAGTTCAAGGCAAGAAACTCTTATATAATTTTATTATATATATATATATATATATATATATATATATATATATATATATATATATATATATATATATATATATATATATATATATATATATATATATATATATATATATATATATATATATATATATATAGAAAATAATTTATACCTATACACCTAAACAAAAACAACTTAAAATAACAGGAACTGGTAGTTCGACTAAGTCACCTTTTACGCTTTTTTTTTCGATGGCATGGTACAAATAAAATTACTGAAGGTGTAAATACCCTACAATAAAAAAAACGACGTCAGGAGTGATGTGGAGGTGAAGATTGCTGTTACTTTATATGTAAACTTATATAGGGAATATTATCGATCGTTATTTATAAGCCAACTAGGCGCATTTTTTTCTCGATCAGACGGTATTATAATTACAATCAAAAGTTATTTATGCTGATTTAGATTTTTTCAGAAAGTAGTATTTTTTCTTAATTTCATTGTATTTAGAAAATTCGACATGACGTGGAAATCAACTTGATTGATTTTCTTTATTTCTTTAACTTCTTCGATCTCTATTTACAAGTCTTTTTCGAACGTTTTAGATTAACCTACCGCTTTGTAACTTTTTTGGCAACAAATATCTCCCATTTTTTAAAGATTTGATTAACTACGATTGACTACAAACTTCAACAAACCATAAAAAGTAAACAATAAACTGAGAAAATTAAAGTTATTTTACATTAGTTGACCACAGATAAGAAAATAGGTTAAGGCTGACTTGTCTCAGCCTAAATATTTACCGCTGAGAATTTTGCACAGCGGCTGACTGTTGCTGTTCGTCAGAATAGACCGTTTAGGGAAATCGCTTACTCGCCACTCAGCCGCTGACCGTCCCTGAACGCGCCCATGGTTTGGACTCGCCCCCTCACTCTCTCTTTCTCGTCTTCTATCTTCACTCGTTGGTTTTAATTCGTCTTGGTGTAAGGTGTAATCGTCTTATTACAAATTATTCGTCTTAATCGTCTTATTACTACAAAAAATTCGTCTTAAACTTGATTTTCATGCATCCGTTGTCCGACGATACGTTGATACGATATTAATTTTATTGGTAGAATTTAAAGACTTTGATTGGTTATAAAATAACGCAGTTTTTAAATTTATTGCATTTTCATGCCTCCGTTTATCGGATATACGTTGGTGTCATTTTATATTTTCGTTTCCATAACGATTTTGCTATTTTACTTATATTTTTATTATGGTTAGATTAAATTTGTCAAAAAAGTGTCAAAACGTCCGTTATCGTATGAACGGGTCCGTTGGCGGGCTGAAGTAAAATATTACGGATGAAAAGTGGCGCGAAAACGCTATGACTAATCAGAGCACCGCCGGACCACCGTATCAACGTATAAAGCTTGATTTTCATGCATCCGTTGTCCGACGATACGAAGGTACGATATTAATTTTATTGGTTGAATTTAAAGACTTCGATTGGTTAGAAACGGTTAACCAATCGAAGCCTTTAAATACACCCAATGAAATTAATAACGTATCAATGTATCGTCGGACAACGGCAAGAACGGTAAACTAATAGGATTGCTCATCCTCATAAGACGTACGTTCGCCTCTTACCGCGCTTCAGCCGACAGTTGTGACGTCATTGTAGCCCTTGTCAAAGCCTTCGTGGCCTTGTCATGATAGTGTGTATTATTAGTTGCCTATGGCAAACTTATAAAAATAACAGCTGATAAATTTTGAGTTAATTATTTTGTCAATTTTAAATGTGAAAAAGGTGTCTTTAAAGTTTTTAGAGCTATAGAGTGTATAAATACGTTCATTTTGTGTTGTGGATTGTGACAAAGTGCATACTAAGTGCTCACGATTTTGTTTATTAATTATTTTAAAGCAAAATATGGAAGTACTCTAAAAAGAATTCTTGCAAAAGGTGATGCTGGGAACTGCTGTTCTTAAAAATGTATTATCCGAGTATTTAATACGATTTATACAGTTAATTTTCTATACTGCATACATATAAGGTGTTTAAATAAATAAACTAAATAATGAACGTTTTGCATTCGGTAACCAATAATGCACGTGTGTGTATTATTGGTTGCCGGATAAGGACTAATAACCATGACAAGGGCTACAATGACGTCACAAAGCGAGTAGTTCTCGCATGCACCTGGCGGACACTTTTGGCTGAATGAGCAGTCCTATTAGGTTAACTGTTCTTGGGACAACGGATGCATTAAAATCAAGCTTAACGGATGCATGAAAATCAAGCTAATCGTCTCGCGTCTTTTTTTTCCGCGTCCCCACGCTACGTGGGGACATATATATATATATATATATATATATATATATATATATATATATATATATATATATATATATATATATATATATATATATATATATATATATATATGTAGTGTGCTCGATAGTTTTATATCGATATTGTTGTGTTCCCAGCCTTAATTAGTTGAGACTTGCTCCTTACTACTTTCACGTACACCTTACACCAAGACGAATTAAAACCAACGAGTGAAGATAGAAGACGAGAAAGAGAGAGTGAGGGGGCGAGTCCAAACCATGGGCGCGTTCAGGGACGGTCAGCGGCTGAGTGGCGAGTAAGCGATTTCCCTAAACGGTCTATTCTGACGAACAGCAACAGTCAGCCGCTGTGCAAAATTCTCAGCGGTAAATATTTAGGCTGAGACAAGTCAGCCTTAATCTATTTTCTTATCTGTGGTCAACTAATGTAAAATAACTTTAATTTTCTCAGTTTATTGTTTACTTTTTATTTGTTGAAGTTTGTAGTCAATCGTAGTTAATCGAATCTTTTAAAAATGGGAGATATTTGTTGCCAAAAAGTTACAAAGCGGTAGGTTAATCTAAAACGTTCGAAAAAGACTTGTAAATAGAGATCGAAGAAGTTAAAGAAATAAAGAAAATCAATCAAGTTGATTTCCACGTCATGTCGAATTTTCTAAATATAATGAAATTAAGAAAAAATACTACTTTCTGAAAAAATCTAAATCAGCATAAATAACTTTTGATTGTAATTATAATACCGTCTGATCGAGAAAAGAATGCGCCTAGTTGGCTTATAAATAACGATCGATAATATTCCCTATATAAGTTTACATATAAAGTAACAGCAATCTTCACCTCCACATCACTCCTGACGTCGTTTTTTTTATTGTAGGGTATTTACACCTTCAGTAATTTTATTTGTATCATGCCATCGAAAAAAAAAGCGTAAAAGGTGACTTAGTCGAACTACCAGTTCCTGTTATTTTAAGTTGTTTTGTTTAGGTGTATAGGTAAAATTATTTTTCTCGTTATTTTTATAAACTGTTAGTTTTTAGAAATTTAATGTTTAATACTGTATTGTCAATATATTTTCAATTATTAAATGATCAGCCAGTAATAATAATTCTTTATTCAAAATTCATTGTTAAGATTTGGTTAAAATTTAAACACACATACCTACTTTTCCATTGTGTTAACCATTAAACTGATTTTTTTATGAACTCGTTTTTTTTTAAAATACAACCCCTAGACAACTGATTAAAATCCTACATTTTGGGGGCCTGTCCGGGATATATCAGAATTTAGCGAATTGGCCAATAGAATAGAACAGTAAGTCAGCCTGAATATCAAGATTTAGCAAATTGTTAGCCGATAGAACCGCAAATCAGCCGGAATATCAATGATATTTGAAAAACTAATTGATAAACTGTTGTACCGAATTGGAGAAAAAAGAAGTAAGATAACAACTACAGCTGTACTTTAAGAAAAACGAAATTAGACGAAAGAAGAACAATTTTATTGTGTTATGAAGAGACAAACTCAGATAGAACTTCCCCCAAATCAACGATTCGACCGTAATAACTTTGAAGTGTGAAGGCACTGTGAAGGTGTTATACAGACTGTCCAAAAAGAAAATACTAATTGTGTGCTATACAAACTGTCCAGAGAGAAAATACAAATTGCAAGGTCTACATCAAGATTAAGTGATTTGTAGCTTTTTTATTAAAGGTTTGTGATATATACCCGAATCTTAAGGACAAATAACAGTTATGGTAGGATGCATGTATAGGGTTACTTTTTTTTTGGAAACTGAACAGTTTGACTATTTTTGCATCGTCTTGCTGGAAAAATATGTTTTCGAGTTCCATTAGGGGCAAATAATCAATAATGGGTCCAAAACCTAATAGTTAAAAGTGGCGAACTTATAAAAATTCTGTATTTCGAAGAGGACTATATTTTTGGAAAGATAATTTCCAAAAAATTTAAGTTATTTTCGCTTAATTAAAAATATACAGGGTGTCCCAAATAAAAAATATTTTTCTCTTGATAACTCATAAATTATTAATTTTAAAAAAATATACTTAAACCGTTAAATTCTATTTAAAAACATGCTTTGGAAATGTTTTTACAAAATACAAAATTTTCCCTAACAAAAAAGTTACAGCGATTTGTTAAAAATGCACATTTTTGAAAAACACCCCGTAATTCATAAAGGGTAACAGATATCGATGTGCGGTTTTCACCATCATGTTTTTAATAAAAATTGAGCTCCAGACACCGATATTAGTTTTCGTCTATCTCCTATAGAAAAGGGCGTTTCCCTTTAAAAGTGTCGAATTTGATCCGTCCTGTACACAGCATAATTTATTCATTGTCATGTATGAAGTGTCCTCAAAATGTGTTATTTTTTCTTCCAGGTGCTTATAACAGGACCGGCTGACACTCCATACGCGAACGGTTGCTTCGAATTAGATGTATTTTTCCCCGCCGACTATCCATTGTCACCTATGTTAATCAACTTAGAGACGACTGGTCATCACACGGTTAGATTTAATCCAAATTTATATAATGATGGAAAAGTATGCTTATCAGTAAGTACCCTTTATTGAAACAGTATTTAGATGTGTATATCGAAATCTTTCTCACAAAAACGGGAGACTGACTCAGTTAATTCATCATTACGTATTTGAATATTATGCTAAGATACCGTATGATCAGAAAAAGACGACGTCCAGTTGGCTTGGAAATAACGATCGATGACATTCCCCCAAAGACGTTATAAAGATAGACCGAACATCTCATTCATAAATACTCATTGGTAGTGTATAATCTATAAAATGAATAACTTTGAATTTTGACCGTTATTTTTTACCAACATGGCAAATATAAAATCCCTCTATCAAAAATGATATTCTTTAAATTGAGTGCCTGAACGAATCAGATAGGTAACTCTTTTTACTTTCGTGAAATAGAAAAGGAAAATAATAAAACAAGTGACATTTCTTCCTCTTCTTGCAAAAATTAACACAAAATGTCATAATTGTCAAAAGTAAAATGTCATCAGCTTTTGACATTTCTAAATATCAGACCAATGCCGTCTCTAATAGAACAGTCTCGGAGCGAGATTTATGACGTCACGCTAGTTAGATACTACGGATTAATAAATATGTTGTAGTATACATGGAAAACATAATTATTCCTCGTATTTTTGGTTTGTATTTTAAAAATGATATAGTTTACATGAAATATACATAATATACAGTTAATAAATACAAACCTATTTATAGTAATAAATACTTTGGCAAATAAACTATGAACCATACAAATGCAGCAATATTTTACAATATACAAATAATGAATAGGTACATAAGATAATGGGTAAAATGTAAAAAATATTTTAAATTTTGGGGTTTGAAAATCGGTCTAATTTAACAAAAAACATTCAATATCTACTAATACTGATGTATTATTATTTGCATTCACAAAATTTATATGTATATTTTGCAAATATTAATGTTCGAAAAATTATATTTGCAAATAATACAATATCATAGAAAAAAAGGCGTCACCGATGGCTATGAAATAAAAATCGCTGTCATTTTATATGTAAAATTATTCTAAAATGTTTGATTTTCTTGGGATTTAGGTTCGGGAAAAACGCCGATTAAGTTTTCATTTGGTTTTTCATTATTTTTTTTGGTTTAAAAAAAAACGTTTCAGCTAACATTATAGCCTTCATCAGTGTTGTGTCATATGAAAAAAATAGTGTCGAATATAATCCAAAAAATGACATAAAATATTCACACCAATTATTATTTATATCCCAGGCTGTTCTATTAGAGACGGCATTGCGTCAGCATGGCCGCAAGTTGCTAACCTAATAAAATTAACACTAGAAAAGCCCGCGGGAACTGTCAAATTCAAAGTTATTCGTTTTACAGACTATATCAAACATTCCAATGTATCAAACAAGGACAGAAGAGACAGAGAGGGCAGATATAAGATATAATAAAGCAATAAAATGTAAAAAAGGTCGGGTAAACATCTTTGTTTATTTGTTGAGCAAAATTCCTTTAGAATATCGTATATAATGACCAAAATATGATGCAATTTAAAAATAAATGTCACTTTCTGGCTTATAATAAAGTTTCAAATGCAACGTTTATAGTCAAATTTGTTATGATCTACAACAGTTAGGTAGTAATTGAGACGAATTATAATTCAATTACCGGCTACTACGTTCTTGTTTTAATAGATCAAAATTCAACAAATATAATTTAGAAATGATGTTAATTGTGAGAGGCTACCTTGTGGGACGCCTGTGTACAATTACGACGGAAATATAAAATGTCAAAACAATACCTACCTGTGAAAAGACAAATTCGGTTAATTTGAGCTAATTTTTCCACACACTTGACACTGTCGTACCATATTGAAAATCCGCAGATTCAAAAGTACTTTAAACAAAAACAAAAACTACTGAAAAACACTGAAAAGTTCACTTCGGACTTGATTCCGACTTCGAACACACCGTAAGCAAACCGTAAGCTAAACGTAGTACGCTATAACGGACTAAGGGTGCAGCCACACTATCCTAAAAACGGCGTATCGGCGTAACGGCGTAACGACCTTGAATCGATTTCCAGTAATTCTATTGGCTAAAATTTTTGACAGATGAATTTGACAGATAAAATTTCTGACAGATGAATGTTTTAGCCAATAGAATTACTGGAAATCCATTCAAGGTCATTACGCCCGTTACGCCGATACGCCGTTTTTAGGATAGTGTGGCTGCACCCTGAGGGCCGTCGCGAGGGGTGGTGGGACATGGGTGGGACAGACAGCTCATTTCATTTTGGAAGACTAGCAGCGACGTTGCCAATAGTTCTAGACGTTTCAGCACATTAAACAGTAAACATGTCCTTTAATAGTAACGCATATATCCTCTGGTTAATAACATATTGTTACGCATCTTCTTTAAAAATAAATTATTAATTTAATTAAGAAATTGAGATTTATTGATATCCGGTGAAGGTTTTAAAGTCACCTTTTCTGCAAATCAAACTAAGCAGATAGGCGCAAATTTGAAATGTGGCAATGTCGCCTTCTCTATCTCAGTTGGTTTTTACAGTACGTAGTCAACCTCCGATTGTTTGATCGGGTTAAAATGCACAATGTGATATCTGTTCTTACTAAATCTATGCATTCCCCATATAATTTTACGTATAAAATAACAGCGATCTTCATTTCCTAGCCATCTCTGACGCCTTTTTTTCGATCATACGGTAGTTTTCTTTAATATTTATAAAATAAGTTAAAAGTATAGTTTGTCCTGTGAGAGAATGTGTCAGTGACAGTTTGTCATTTTAATTGCAGGCTAAATTGTTTTCTTCTGTCAAATTTTAAATTTCTTTTTTTCACTGGACAGATGTACAGGGTGTCCCATTTTCGTGTTTTGCAGGGTTTTCGTTTATTTTGCAGGGTTTCTCGGTTTTTCTTCAAGATGGTAGACACAGATTTGTCCCAGCCCTCTTAGTTTCTGAACTACAGGTCGAATTTAAAAATTTTGTATTTTTCGACTCCCTTCGTATCTCGGTTATCTTATAAAGAAACAGAATTATCGCAAAAGATGAAAACTGAGTCCCATAAATATTTTTACGTAGAACCCAGAGGCGTAACTGGTTTTACGCTGGAACCTGTTATTTTCAAAATATGAATCAAACTTATATATTTTTTTAAATAGTACACCCCGTATATTATTTTATTATTTTTTTTTTTTTTTGGTTTGGTTTGGTAACATGAAAGTAAGTATAGAGTATATCGTCGGTGAAATGTGATAAACTACTAACTCCATTATTCCTAGTTTTACAGGAGAACAAAAAAACGGTACAAAAAAATATGGACATGTAGGAAGTATTTTCATGCGTTAATATGATGAAGAGATAAGAATTTTATTTGCTGGGGAACAATAAAACTCAATATTTCGTGTTACATCATTTTTTTCAGACACAATAGCAGATAGGTAGTAGATAGCAGGTATTCGTCTTGCAGAAATGAGAAATAAAAATATACTTTTGGAGATAGCAACCTTTATTGTTTGAAATTTTGAAAATGGAATTGAATATTACCCAAACAGATTTAGAAATATGCAATTAAATTTAAAAAATATGATATTCATAACCATATATTTAGAATATCGTCGGTCTAGAAGCAAAACATACAAGTCCAAAAACAAATAAATTTTTAATGCATTTTTAAAGAACTGAACTAAAATAAAACTGATTATGTATTATGGAAATTCTTGTACAAGTAAGTAATGGTTATTTAAACTATTTATAGCACGCCGATGAATTGCTCGTATATAGAGAATTTTGTTTTTCCCCTTACCCTTTACGGATACCCCATATTTACAGAACGGATCGACGCAGGGTCGGACTGGCCATATTATATATATTAGGGGGGCCCCAGCCTTCGCGAGCCCCCTTTATAGTTCATTATTTATTCTTAATAACTTTTGCTTTTGCATTGCATTTGCATTGTATTGGTTTACCTTGCATTAGGGTAGTTCCCTGATTTCTATACAGGGTGAGTCTTAAATAAGTGCAAATATTTTCAGGGCTAGTAAATCTCGATAAAAGAAACATAATATTTTCTCTTTACCGTTTTTTTTTTCAAATAAATCCAAAACAACCGATTTATTTCACTTTTAAAATTTCCAATTTTTTGCTATTTAAGAATCATTGGATTTTCTTTCTTGTAAATTTAATCTACTACCTATGTTGCCATATTACAAACAAAGTATGTTTTTAAACTAAAAATTAAAAAAAAATCCAAATTTTTTTTTAAAAAATTCCAAATTTTCAAAAAAAAATTCGCGCAAAAAAACTCATCGTGTTTCTTGGGTCGAAATATACTACTCCTAAAAATATTTGCACTTATTTAAGACTCACCCTGTATATAATAGGGAAAAATTGACCAAAACGTAAGGCGAAAAAATAGGCAAAAAAATCCACACGGGCCCCTCCTTACATTGATACTCGGGCCCCTTTGGCCTAGTGCGACCCTGGATCAACGTACTGTACTAAAGAAACATACGAGCAATCATACGAGTAAAGAATCCGTGTATTTGCTTTAGCCACAGATTAGGTATACTATAATCACACAGATTAGGTAATCTTATCCGTAATTCGTGGTACGAAAATTCTTTTTTATGACGCTGTGCAAATGAGTAAAATTTCCTGTGCGCAAAAATAAACTCGCGTAAAATAACAATAAACAGCGTAATAGAGAGATATCGCTAAACCGAATAGCGTGCATGGACGTTAATATAAGGGTGTTATTTCCTTTACTTGAGGTGGTATTAACTCTCTTCATTTATAGTTATCGGATCGGAAAGAATTCTGTTCTCGTCGCGTCCGCTATTTAAACTTAACCTAACTTTGAATTTAAAACTTTGAAATTATTTTGTTTACTAGGTATTTTAAAACTAAAGGGCTAAAGTGCTTATTTCCAGTGCTTCATTGTTCAACGTCTAACAGTGGGTTTAGGGCAACAAGCAATAAATTCTCTTAGAAGGGCTGAGTCGTCATCTGCTGTAAACCTAAGCATCTTTATAGGTTCTTTAATAATGGAAGAGGTGGAATCCATATTTTGGGCCATATTTATTTAATTTAAACTTATCCCAGCTACTTAAATATCAATTCAGTCTCAGTTTTCATCTTTTCGAGAAGTTACAAGATAACTGAGATACAAAGAATGGCAACATTTTCAAATTGCCCTGTATTTCAGGAAGTAAGAGGATTAGGACAAATTTGTGTGTAGTATCTTTAGTTTTATGAAAAAGTAGTACAGTGATGTGAAAACCGCATCATTGTACCACTACTCATAAATGAGATACCTCGTAAAAAAACATGAAAATGGGAAACCCTGTACTTACAGAGTTCAGTAATAATAACAAATTATATTATTATGTTAATGATTACTGATAACTTTGATACTATTTACTAATTATTTCTTATAGGTATTAAACACGTGGCATGGTAGACCAGAAGAAAAATGGAATGCTCAAACCTCCAGTTTTCTTCAAGTTCTAGTATCCATTCAAAGTTTAATTTTAGTACCGGAACCTTATTTCAATGAACCAGGTTATGAAAGAGCCAGAGGTAAAATAAATACGATACAGTCGTAGAATACAAATAACTTTAACCATAGTAGGAAGAAAATTTTCTCTTGTTTGATAATCTATAAAAGTAAAAAAATATGAAACAATTAAAAAAAAATTTCAAACGTCACAAAAGTATTAATTTATGCGACGTGATTGACGATAGAAAAAAGTTATTTTAAGGCCTAAGCACAAAAGTACTAAAATATATTATTAAACTGACATAAAGTGTCAAATTCAAAGAGCGTAACCATAGTTTCTCGATATACCGATTTAGTCATTTTAGAAGTGTGGTCTCGATTTTAACGTGCAAGACAGAGAATAATATAAATGACCGGTTGACAGACAGAGAGACAAAATCAAAAGCGGTGTTGCCGGTTTTTACGTTTGTAGGAAAATTTGCGTAGAAAAAAAAAATAAACTATTTCAAAAACTTTCATGTATACCACTGAAATGAAGATAATACATTATCTAAGCTAAATATATTCTATTACATCGGTAGTAAAATGAGTAACTAATTGTGAAAAATAAGGTTTTATAAATAATAAATTAAACCTAACTAAAATAAAATAACCTTTTATATGCAACATTTTGATGCAAAATCCAGCAATACCGCATAGAAGAAATGTATCAACCCAACTTTTTTTCTTTGTAATACATTTGATTTTCCATTAAGCTGCATCACTACCTACATCACTGTTTTACACGTTAAAATCCAGACCACACTTGACCAAATCGGTATAATTACATACAAGGTATTACTTTTAAATCTTTTTATATTACATATTTGGAACATTTGAAGTTGTTTTAAAATTATTTGTGGCGTTTGAAATAAAATAGGATGTTCTATTCGGAGTAAAAATAACTTTTTGCGCCTCGTATATGTCAAACGTACAGCCGCAACGCAGCTGTACGTTTGGAAAAAAAAACAATATACTATTAATATACCGGATGCGTCTCAAAAGTGGCTCACCCCTATAACTTTTTTATTTTTTTAGATAAAAAAACGAGATTTGGTATGTTAGTATATGACATAAATTAGGATTGTAAAAAATGTCTATACCTATGTGGCGGATTCATCTTTCCAAAAAAATCCTTTATGAGTATTTCGCCACTGCACTGCAAGAAAATCTACAAAATAAAATAATTATTTTTTGTAAACACTTCTGCGTTAAACCTAAACGGACGCTGCTTGTCAGAAATTATGTTTATAGTAATAGAAATATACCTAACAAAGAAAAAAAATGCTTAACGTTTCGGAAAGTTGTCTCTTTCCGTCGTCGGAAGCAAAAAAAAATACAAAGAATAAAGAAAAAAACTATTTGAAATATTGAAATTCAACTATTCGAGAACACTTTACTTTTTTAAAACAGATACGTCTACAAGAAACCGTTGACGTTCTGTTAAAAAATAGATAGATACTTAAATTTCACATCTAATCACAGTATAAGTGTAAAAAAAGGTGTTATAAAAAGTTTATATGATAGGGCAAAAATAATATGTACAGACGACATTTCACTAAATCTATACTAATATATAAAATCCTTAAGTGACTGACATACTACATACATACCGTATGATCGGAAAAAAAACGGCGTCCAGTTGGCTGGGAAATGACGATCGATGACATTTCCCATATAAATTTACATATAAAATGACAGCGATCTTCATTTCATAGCCAACGCTGACGCCGTTTTTTCTCGATCATACGGTATTAATCACGATCCTGCTCAAACCACTCAACTTAAGAAGCTCAGTTTTGGCATACAGGTTGATTCTAGGGTATAGAGGTTCGATAAGAAGGGATTTTTCGAAATTCCAGTTCCAAGAGGGTGAAACCACCCCTCAAATATTACAATATTTTTTATTTTAAAAACGGTCAAGTTTCCGAAAAAACGCTTAAACACGTATATTTTATTTTGTTCTTTTACATATTTTAAGATTTTTTAAAGATATATACAGGGTGTTTCGAAAAATCTGGTCATTGATTAATCACGATCCTACTTAAAGCGCTTGACGTAAAAAGCTGATTTTTGGAAAACAGATTGACTTTAGGGTGTAGAGGTTCGATAAGAAGTGATTTTTCGAAACTCGAATTCTAAGGGGGTGAAACTATCTCTCAAATATTAAAATATTTTTTATTTAAAAACCGGTGAGTTTTTCGGAAAAACTCTTAAACACGTATATTTTATTTTGTTGTTTTACATATTTTAACATTTTTTGTAAATTTATACAGAGTGTTTCATAAAATATGACCATTGAGTAATCACGATTCTGCTTAAACTGCTTGACGTTTAAAGCTGATTTTTGGTAAACGGATTGACTGTGTGGTGTAGAGATTCGATAAGGATAGCTTTCTCGAATCTCAAATTCCAAGAGGGTGAAACCGCCCCTCAAATATTACTATATTTATTATTTAAAAAACGGTTAGTCTTTCGGGAAAACGCTTGGACAAGCATAATTTATTTGTTTTTTTTACATATTTTGAAATTTTTTAAAAAATCATGGTGTTCCAAAAAGTTGGGTAATTTCTTAACCACTATTCTGCTTAAACTGCTTGACGTAAAAAGCTTATTTTTGACAAACGGATTTTTCGAAAGTCAAATTCCAACGAGATGAAACTACCCCTCAAATATTACCAAGTTATATAATAATATCGCCATATTGTTTTTTCTCATGCTGACATAAATGTGAGAAAATTTTATTCAGTTTTTTATGTTAATGGAAATTCTTACTTTGCTTTATGATCACTATTACAAATGATTAATTCGACGCGAACGAAGTCGCTGGTACACGCTAGTAGAGATATAAACCAATTTTTTTGGATAAATTAGGATTGATTGACGTAATCAATTTTTTTTTTGGTCACTTCCTGTTTCCCCGGAAATGACAGCAACTTTTGATTTTTAAATGGCGCCCTCTGTATTTTCTTACTTTATTCGATAGGAAATGACATTCTAAATAGAATGACATATCATATGTCTGAATATGTCAACTTTTGACATTCTCGCTTAATAAAAAATCGTATTTTAAATTTCAATCTAGAGTGCCATGGATATGCTAAAAATACTAATTTTTAATCAAGGAGCCTTGGAAAAATAGAATTGATCGTCTAATGTTTTTCGTGTCTTGTCCTGGTCAGTTAAATATGCCCATATCGTATTTTTAATATCTCAAATTTTTCAAATGGAACGAGGGTGGTTCATTAGCATATTTGGAAAAAGCATTTTTTTACGAATAATTTGATACCATACACTTGGTATTTCGAGTCAAATTTTCGTTATGAAACGCATGTTATAATTTCAAATAAACCATATGCGAAAATGTCAAAAGTTGACATATGATATCTCATTCTATTCAGAATGGAATTTCCTATTGAATAAAGTAAGAAAATACCGACGGTGCTATTTAAAAATCAAAAGTTGTAGTAATTTCCGGTAAAACAGGACAAGTGACCAAAAACAACTGAATACATCAATCCATCCTAATTAATGTCATATACTAACATAACAAATCTCATTTTTTTTTATCTAAAAATATAAAGAAGTCGTAGGGGTGAGCAACTTTTGAGACGCGGTATATTTAAGATTAGTATGTAAAATGATTTTATTATTTTAGGGACACCTGCTGGAACTACTAACTCTAAAGATTATAATTTAAATATCTGCCAAGCTACAGTAAGGTGGGCGATGCTAGATCAAATTTTAAATCCTTGCCCTTGTTTTAAAGATGTGATACATGCACACTTCTACATGAAGAGGCATGAAATTTTAGCGCAAGTAGAGAAATGGGTGCAAGATTTAGAATTCGAGACAAAGCGGGAAAAGAAAAACACTAGAACAATAAAGAAAAATAGAAGTTCTTCACTTGAAAATTTTAAAAAGGTATATTTTATTGTTAAATATGGAGTATGTATGGATAAAATATAAAACGTTTGCATTTTTCAGATTTATAAGCAATTACAAGAACAGTTGGCTAAATTAAAACCACCTGGTTTGGGATATAGAGAGACAGTTAGTGAGCAACCTGTAGATGACGACGATGATGAGGAGGGAAGTCCTACAACACCAACAAATAGTATGGAGGTTACAATAGATCAAGACCAAACTAAAGACATTGAAACAGATAAAGCAATGGAAAAAATGGTTAACGATATGTGCAAGTGATAAAGTGTTAAATATTAAATTTTTATTTTTGCATTTATTATGATTCCTGGTGAAAAGGAAAACTATACAAATGTTGTATGAACAGAAAGTAAAGCAAAAATAATTTTATTAAAACGATTTATGCCTTACCTTCGTGATGTTGAAATTATTTTGAGATTTTAAGTTTTTGTACACACTGTTTTCAATAACTTAGTTACCAGATAATCTTCCTGTGTCATAAAAGGTTAACTTGCGATTGAGAATGAATCTAGGACTTACTGTAACTTATTTTCTTTTTAAATTATTCTAAACGAAATGTGATTTTAAAATAAAAGTTTTTGTTTTAATGTTTGTTTTTATGGTACCACATTATCTATATTTTGATGACTATTAAATAGCATACATACATATATGATATAATTATTGTTTTAATTACTTTATTTACATAGAAGTATTATATAACTTAAATATATAATAATTTACTTAGTTGAAACTCTAGTGCGTTTATTCCATGAAAAATTGACACCATATGATTTTGGCTTGAAACGTTTCTCCAACTTACTCTCCTGCACAAAGTATTTCCAACCATTTTGTTCACAATATTCAATCGCTTCTTCTTTATTGCTAAACTGAATTTTTAAGTTTGATAATGGATCACCACTACAAAATCCACATTTTAGAAATTTAATAAAAAATAAAATATTGTTCTATTAAATTACGTTGAAGACCAGCCCATTAGTGGATTTTCCCATCTCTCTTTGGTATCAAAATCAATCTCCCAGTGACCAATATTATTTGTGCCACTCTGCATACAGTTCTTAGGTGGTTCGTATATTCTTACTGTACGGGTTTTAACTTGTTCTTCAGGTACACCACTAATTAATGAAGTGTTGGTCTGAAAGTTAATAAATTGAGTATTTAAAGTACGACGATCCTAATTTAAGAATAATAAACTAATAGAAATAAGGAATAACTTACTGGTCCCTCGACAGTTATGTAACCTTGAAGCTTTTTTCTGTGTTCTATTTCTTCAGGTTTTAAAAGGGACAAATCGGTGCTTATCAAAGGCGCATCCCCCTGTAAAACTGCAGTTGAAGAAATTCCAGGGGCCCCTCTAAAATAATAATTTCAATATAGTAGTAAGAGGTTAACAATCCTAAAAAATTGTTTTACTTTAAATGTACACAACATTGTCTTAGATGCCTGGCCTTCAGTAAAATTGAAGCCATTCTTTTATAGAAAATGAAATTATCCCTAATATTCTAAATAGGCAAAATATCTTGTTTATCTCAATTTCTAAAATTTTGACTTTTTGACCATTAGATAATTTTGACTTTGACATGGATGTGGATGTCAAAAAATCATATGGTAGATTATACTGCATTACTGGTTGCCTATAGGTAATATGTGTTTTATTGCTCAGTAGAGTACGCAAGATACTTTTTTAAAGAAAATCTTACCCACGGCCACACAGAAAGCGTTTTTTTGAGACTAAAACCCTTGTTTATATATCAAGGCTCAAACAAAATAACAGGATTATATAGGAGTGGCCCCACCAAAAGCGTGTAGCGTTCGGCGTATCTCGCAAAAAACGCAAATGAAAACAAATCAGTTTGTTTTCAAAGGTTTTCTGTATCGTCTGTCTTTTTAAGGCTGGTTTATATTGGTATTAATAGTAGTAGAGTTCACTAGCATACTTTTTTCTAAAACACTCTACTTTGCCCACTTTGGTAGAGTAACTGTATACACGTCTCCAGTAATTTGAAAAGATAGTTCAGTTTAAAGTGTGTCACCAGAGTGTGTCACAATCTCCATAGTTACAATTAACAAGCAGGTTAGGCATATTGACTTTTTATGAAAGAATCCATTAAATGAAACCATTTAATATTTGGAACATAGACATCTATGATAGACATCATTTAAATCAGAACCTGATTTTTTTGACTTTTTTGTTTTGTTAACTTCTTGATTATTAGTACACCTCAAATTTTTATTTTTTTGTTTTAATTCATCTAACCTAACCAAAATTTTCCTTTGATATATATTTTACAATTTCTTCGTAGGTCGCTGATCTCATTGATCTATTTCTATAATTATGGCGGCTGATATTCCATATACACTCGTAATCCTTGTATACTGCCACTAATTTCGTAGTTTCAGATTCCGTCCACTTCATTTTCTTTCATACGTAAGCAAAATTTTTAGTTAGTTAATTTTAATTAAGAAGTAAAAAGAGATCGGCAAGCACAAGAAACATCCAAACACTCACCTCTACTAAAGCTAGTCTAGTGCCTGTTTACAGTGGTATAGTAAACTAGCAAACCGGTAGAGTAGAGTAAGATGGTGATAGTGGGGGTAGGCTAGTAGAGTGTACTATTCCACACGTGCTATCCACTCTACTCGCCCTTAGACTATCTATAGTACTATAATGTAACTAGCACAAACTGTTTACATTATTCTAGTAGTGGGATAGTACGCACTCTACCACCGTACTCAACTACTATTAATACCAATGTAAACCAGCCTTAATGCGTCTTTAGCATTAGCGTAACTAGCAATTCATCTTGGGGGGGAGGGGGGGGCGTAGGTATACAAATAAACAGTGTAGGTATACAAATGTTGCAGAGATGGTGATTTCAGAAAGTCATAATATGATTTGCTGGCAAAAATAAATGTTTAGTGGTTAGCAAATTATTTTTAATTATAGTGGTGAATCGCGAGGAGCCGCACTATCACCTGCAGCAAAAATGAAATTATTTGCGACAATTAACTGTTGAACACGGGTTTTCAAAATTCTAGCTGAAGTACTCGGTGTTCACCAACTACTGTCTGCATCTGCAAGACATCATCTACTTCTGTAATGCACGCAGTGTTGGAGAAGGCCAATATTTGTATTAGATTGCCTAACAGTGCTGAGGATTTTCGGAAAGTTAAACGGTTTTAGTCAGAGAGATGCCGTTTCCAACTGCTATCGGTGCCATAGACTGATGTATACGCATGCCAGAATTCCAAATTTCAAAACTAAGAAAGTTTGGATATGGTGATGAATATGTACAATAAAAAAAGGATATTGCAGCATTAATACATTCAACTTGCAACGCAAAATAATTTTTCTAGTCTAGCTTGAAAAAAGTCCTATGGGCATTTCGCCACTTGCACTATAAGAAAAGATATAAGTAATTGTTATCAGGTAGAAATTGTTAATTCTGAAGTTTAACTCAGTTTAACTTGATATAACGTCATTCTTACAGAACGTCAACGGTTTTTGAAGTGAAACTTCTTTACACGCGTTGGGAGTAAAAATTCAAGGCTGTGACACACGAGCTAGCGTCAGGAAAAGTGGTAACGGCAATGTTGCCACAGTTACCCCATTCGGGGTAAATCTACCTAATTTCACTTCAAAAACGGGTGACGTTCTGTTAAAATGACTTTATATCAAGTTAGACTTCAAAATTAACAATTACCAAAACCAATCACCAAACCAAATCAATATACTACCTGATAACAATTATTACTTATTTTCTTACAGTGCAAGTGGCGAAATACCCATAGGACTTTTGTGAAGAGATGAATACGCCACAAAGGTCTAGACATTTTTTATTCTCTGTTATTATTAATTACAATATTTTATTTAAAAATTGTGATTAATTGTTGAATTTAACACATTGTACACAATATGCGATACCAATTATTTCTGTCCTTTTCGAGGTTTATCAAATCATGTTATAACTTATATAAAATGTATACTTAAGTAATATGTATATAAAATGTTATAACTCAACAATTATCTCAACATAAACTTTGCATGGTTAGATAAAAATTAGATGTTATGGTAATAATATAATATAACAAAGTATACCGGGTGTTGCATCGTCGGACGGGACATAGGAAATCCCATGTAAATTTTAATGGGGTCAATTATTGGCTTCCCTAATTATTTTAGAGAATAATTCTATTTAGGTTTATTGAAGCACACTAAAACCCACATTCAAAAGAATAACTTTAGATATTTTTTATTAGCTCGTTTACGAGTTATCGCCGATTTCTTTTTAAATATTTCTCTATATATTCTATATATTCATCGCCGATTTCTTTCTTATGGCCCTGTATTTACTTATGAGCACCAGTCAAGGTAAAAGAGATAACTGTCAAATGAAGTTGTCATTTCAGAAATTTACCTATTTAGTGCTTTATTATTTTTGAAAACTCATTCCTACATCGGAAATCTTAAAGATGTATTTATAAATACAAATTAATATGAATTAAAGTAAAATAAAGTAATCAATTACAAAGGTTAATTATAGTATTTTATTACAATATTCAATAACTTATTAATTTAGGTACTACTAAATTGTTAGAACTTTAGGATTTAAGAAGATGTTCAAATATTCCTCCATCGACTGCTAGACAATAACCCAGGCGATCATAAAATTCTCTTCTTACATTCGCTAGTTGGTAAACTGAAATTCTATTGCATTCGGCAAAAATAGCATTTTTTAACTCGTCTAGATTTGGGTATTTTTTATCCCTATAAAAATATTTATTTGGCGAAAATATATATTTGGCGAAATATCAGGAGACCTTGCTGGCCAATTTACTGTATGATTTAGGCCAATAACGTTTCCGTTAAAACTATTGTCTAAATATTCCCGAACAGCCAGGGTATTATGTGCCGGGCAGCCATCCATTTGGTACCAAACTTCCTGATTTTCCCTAGCGGCATCATGTAAAGCAGGTAAAATATGATTTTCGAGTAGTTCCAAATAATATTCTGCATTTAAATTTCGCGTAAGAAATAATGGCCCGATAATATTGTGTCCGAATATCCCTGCCCAAACATTTACTTTCTGTGGATATTGCGTCCTTGTTTCGACAAACCTGTGTTGGTTTTCTTTGTTCCTATATCGATAATTTTGAACACTGGGTTCATTATTTAAGGTAAACGTACATTCGTCAGTGAAACATATGTTTTTTAAAAAATCCATATCCGTGTTTGCTCTTTCCATCATATCAAAACAAAACGCCTGCCGCCGTATTTCGTCCCCATCTCGTAGCTCTTGGTGCTTTTCATATTTGAAGGAATAGTATTTATGTCGTTTCAAAATTCGAAACGCTGTAGTGTGATCTATTCCTATTTCATCCTCAAGTTTCCTTGTGCTGATCTTTCCATCGTTCTCTTCCACGCACAATAAAACTTCCAAGTCGGTATTATTTCTTGCATCTTCTCTTTGTTCCTGCCTTGCTTCACATCTGCAGTTCGGTAGTGTAATTCATGGCTAATATTTTCGATGTAGGTATGAGTTTTTAATAATAATAATAATAAAGCACTAAATAGATAAATTTCTGAAATGACAACTTCATTTGACAGTTATCTTTTACCTTGACTGGTGCTCATAAGTAAATACAGGGCCATAAGAAAGGAGAAAGATTTAAAAAGAAATCGGCGATAACTCGTAAACGGGCTAATCAAAAATATCTAAAGTTATTCTTTTGAATGTGGGTTTTAGTGCTCTTCAATAAACCTAAATAGAATTATTCTCTAAAATAATTAGGGAAGCCAATAATTGACCCCATTAAAATTTACATGTGATTTCCAATGTCCCGCTCGACGATGCAACACCCGGTATATCAAATAACTTATAACTGATATTCAACAACTAAAAAAAATATATTCCATTAAAAATCGCAATCGTATATACAGGGTGTCACAGAAATAAGTGCAAGTATTTTAAGGAGTGGTAGATCTCGATAAAAGAAACATATTTTCTCTTTATCGTTTTTCAAAAAAAAAGTCCAAAATAACAGAGTTAATTTACTTTGAAAATTTAAAAAAATAATATTTTTGCTAAAATTTTGAGAACCACTGTTCTGGATTTTCTTTTTTGTAAATTTAATCTAATACCTATGTTGCCATATTATCAAGAAATTATGTTTTTTTACTAAAAACTAAAAAATTTCCAAAAAAATTTTCAAAAAATTTCGAATTTTTAATTTTTTTGTTCGCGAAAAAAACCTCATAGGCGTCTTTCTGGGATTGAACTATACTATCAGTTAAAATACTTGCACTTATTTCTGGGACATCCTGTATAAAGAAGCGCAGATCTTATAATATATTTTATTTAGCTACTTCATGTATTGTAAAAAATTCCATAAAATCAAAGATTGCAATTCAATGTAGCGTAAATTTTAAAACCACTCGAAACTATGATCATTGGTAAAATGAAATCATGGTTCATTTCATTCATCTAATTCTTCACAATTTAGTGTACCACTAGAGTATGGTAAATGTAACCTTACAACAGTGACGGCACACTGGTTTTTCAAGGGGATCCTAAAATTAATATT